AATCCCTGCTTCACAGGGAAGGCAGCCATCCAGTTCTCAAATCAGTAATTCTGGGCTTGGATGTGTCACATTTACATGGTGTATTTGAAAAAAAGGTGTAAATCAAGAGCTAAAACTGCGCTGTGGTCACCTATAGATCTATATTATATATTTTCATGCAAAAACTAAGGCTGCACAATGCTCAGTAACAGCTATTGCATCCACCTGCAGATTGATGCAGTTGGAAAACATTTCCAAGCATTCCAATCTTCCTCTGGACACCTTTTTAATATTAAGAAGTACTAGAAAATTACATCTGGTGACAGTGTTTTGTTAGTAGCCTGTGTCTCTGCAGTCCTGAAGTGGCTGCAGGGAGAACTGAACAAGCTGTAGTCTGGAGAGGAAAACAAATATCCCTATTTCTGGAAACACTGCAGCTACAACACTTTGTTCTCACTAAATTTGTGCTTCTTCCCTGTAGTTTGTTCTCATGTTGTTGTGAACCTCTTCTCAATATAGTATTTTTATTTCACATCCAAAACAAACCAAGAGAAAAACCAGAAAACACAGCACATACTAGGAAAGAAGAAAAAAATAATGCACAGGTGGTCACTGGAAAAGTTTGTTGAGTTTCTATCACTCTAGGTTTCCAAAAACCCCACAGGACATGGTCCCGAGCAGTGTGACCCTGCTTTGAGCAAGAGGGTTGGACTAGATAATCTCCAGAGCTTCCTGCCAACCTGTGACGTGTGGGCACTAAGAACTGTTAAGAACTCTTTGCTGTATGCAGATCTCGGGCAGCATCCTTAACAGTAAAAAAACCTGTGCAAAGAAACCTCCAGAGCCTTTAGCTGGCTTCTGGTAGAGCCTGACATGAAGGAAGTCACAAAGTACTGGAGATCTGTAATTCTCTGGGACAGTTCTGGCTAAGAGCTGTGACAAGCTGATTTTTTTTTTATTTTTTTTTTACCATAAAAGACAATTTCTGAACAATGTTTGCTCTAATAAGTAATACATTAGGCTCTTACAAGTAAGAATTATCGAAGTTTTAGTAAAAGTATCATCAAAAAGGATTCATGCTAGGTAGTTTGGGCATTCAAGTGACAAAATTAGATAATCTTGGTTCCTTCCTTCCAAGCCAAACCATTCTATGGAGTCTAAAACACATATGTAGTCCATAAGAGACTGGCTGATATGCCTGCCACTCTCTGAAGGGTTCATTAATAGCCCAAAAAGCTCCTGGTCCTGATCACCCACTCCCAGCTGGGTGACAAGAGTAGGTTTTCTAAATTCATTTCATAATGGCTACAGAAAACAGGATCACCAGGATCACAGAAAACTTCAAAACTGCTAAAAACCTTACTGAGTGGGAAAGCTAATGAAAACACCAAGAAACCTAAAAAAAAACCAAAAAACCAACCAACCAACCAACCAACCAAAAAAACAACAAAAACCACAAACAAACAAAACCAAACCAAAACAACTAAAATCATAGGAAGTTTTAAGTAGGACCAGGTCTGGAGTATTGGACATTTCTAACAGTTATCACAGAATCACAGATTGGTTTGAGCTGGAAAGGACCTTATAAATCATCCTGTTTCATCATGCCTGTGGGGGCAGTCCTGGGCTTCAAAAATGGTGTAAGACCATTTGATTACTCTTCAGTCCACAGTGCTTGAAAACTTATTATCTTTTCTGTACCAAATAATTCAAAGGCCCTTTTTCTCTAGAATTAATTAGCAGGTTCACAGGTACTGATTTTCCTATTTTAACACTTCAGCAACATTTCACCAAAGTTCAGTGAAAACACCAAACCAATCCAAGATGATTAACTACCTCTGCATGCCAGTCATAGCTCTACATGCCTCAAGGTACCACCAAGTTCTCTTTTTTTTTTTTTCACAGTTTAAATCCTTAGCATAGTAATCCTACTCTCAGTTGCCAGTATTGGAGATACAAGGCCACTAGATTTCAAACTGCAGCATCTGTGCAAAGACTGAAAATGATAAAAAATACTATACCCCTTGTCAATCTCAGTTCTTACAACTGATTTTTTTTTTTTTTCCAAAGCTTTTTTTCCTGTCAGAGTGTCAAGGTCCTGACACAGGTTGCCCAGAGAAGCAGTGGCTGCTCCATCCCTGGAAGCGTTCAAGGCCAGGCTGGACAGGACTTGAAGCAACCTAGTGGAAGGTGTCCCTGCCCATGACTGGAGGGTTGAACTGGATGAGTTTTAAGATCCATTCCAATCCAAATAATTTGATGATGATACTCTGCCTCTATACCAGACTGAAATGCCCCAACAACAATTTCTTCTTGCAAAGGAACCCACAAATACCTAAGAGGTACTAAAGGTACCTCTCCCCTAACTTTCTCTTTGATAAGCCATATTAAGCTCTAAATTTATCGTAAGGTAAGTGTTTCTTTTCTGCTGGAAGAAAAGAAGATTGAAAGATTCTCAGGACAGACTCTGAGTAGGGGAAAAAACTCAGTCCCACAGTTTGGATGGAAACCATGCACAGGCTGTTAGTAAACATTCTTCATGGTTTACTTCAAAACTTAGGAAAAGAGCCAACCATAGACACACAGGTGCTAAAGATACTTTTTGCCCAATACATACAAACCCCAAAGCAGTATTTTTCTAGTTAATTATCCTAAATTATGATCAGTTTTCTCTGGATTCAATGTTGCCAAGCTGAAATCATTGGCCTTTGTGGGGATGCACAACCACCTTCACCTGTGAAATCGTAAGACTTCAGAAACTATTTCTGCATTAGAAACAAAAGCATAGTCTTAATTCAAAATTTTTGATTTTTAGGTTTTAGATAGGTAGTTTTGTTTGTTTGTTGGTTTGTTTTGTTTTGGTTTTTTAAATCCCATTAACTGAGTAATTTATTCTATTCAAAGGGCCCTAAGGGCCCTTCTTCTATTTTGCTCTGAAATTTCAAAAGCTCAGGGCTTTGTTTTGTAAGTCAGAGAAATACTGAGACTGAAAATACACTCAGCACAATGGTCTAACCTTTCCAGAAAACATGCAGTCTGCTGTGATTCCCTGCATTTTTAAAGGACACATAAATTCCCCCTAGTTTCAGTACTTCCTCTAACTTCAGTTCACTTTCTTAGCATCCTTTTTTGAAAATTCATGTGTGTTGCTGCAGCACCAGAGCACGTTCATTAAACTGCTCAATTCAAAGCAACTCATTAATGCCATTTCACTTGCTCTACAATTTATCCAGTTTTCTGATAAGAGAGATACAAGCCTGCTAATTCCCAGTACCAAAAATTATCACCACCATACCTACTCCTTCCTCCATTCCAAGAAAGGGCATCAAATTAACTTCAGGAATGAAGATGCAGCTTATGAGGGACAGGGGATACGCAAGTATTGTTTTACATACCGATGCTTTATTTTTAGCAGTTTGATGATATTTATAGGGCTGTGAGACGTGGATACATGGCTGCAGGGGGATGAAGTATCCCAAGGGCAGGTAGGAAAAAACCTGCACATCTGCCAGGCAGGACAAAATAACAGGCAGTGATGCCTGGAGTTCATGCAAAGGAGAGAAGTACAAATGCTCCAAGCACCTTATCTTAGTGTCATTATAAAAAAATCATGTTTAAAAAACTCCAACTGTATCTACCCTACATTTTAGGTCACCTTGTCTATTTCTTATTTGTAAAGGTATTCATATGATGAAGTGCTGGAACACACAAATTCAATAAAAGAATCTGAAGAACAAGTTGAAATTTGGGAAAGCCGCAAGAGAAGAATGTCAAGAATGAACACACTGATTACCAAAGTTCCTTCTTCTAAATTTCTCACATCACCTCAAGACATCCCCACCACATGCTTCAACTTGCCAATCTTAAATCAATCCCTTCTCACAGAAACATGAAAAGCTTTCAGATGTTAAACAATTTGCTATCTTCAAAGAATTGTCAAATAGTCCACTGTAGTTGTCCATACCTTTGCTCCAATCACTAAAGAGGCAAACAGAAGTCTTACATAAAACATCAAAATAAACTGGACCAGAACTCAACAATATAGTGAATATATTAGGTGCTGAATTCACCTTACACTATTTCTTGGTATCTATTTTTGGCTGGGGAGAGCATATACCTTCACCTAAAACCGAAACTGTAATTTAGGGCAATGTTCGTAGTCATAAGTGCTTAAGAAAAGTCTTCTCTCTCTCTTATATTCTCATGGCCTTCCAGTCCTACATATACCAGGGACACTCAAAGCACTGCAAAAGCCCAGGTGACAATGAAAATTTGATACAAGCCAGAAGAACTGTGTGTGTCACCTGCTTTGGACCCTTAACAACTGGGTATGGAAATACAGACCATTCCTTATGCTGACTTATGCAAAGACTGTCCACTGCCAATAACATCACCATTAAGCCACTTTTTGTCATCCTGTAGCAATGTGGAACTTTCACAACTTAAAGCATAACTTCTTCACTTTTGTCGATTGCTGTGGTTTCATTAAAACAAGAGTAAAATCTCCCAAATAGCTATCAAAACCTTAACTACCTAAAATGACATACTGGCAGGGTAATTATTTAACTAAATAAAGAAATGTGGAATGTTTCATTTATAACATCTTATTCTCCTCAATCCTGAGCACTAAGGACATCAGAATCCAAACCAATACTGATTTCAATACAAAGGTAATACAAAAATAATTAGTTTCATAACCCCCTATTCCAGTATTCGCACGTCAAATTTACCAGGCCATTTCTCCACAATTATACTCTATGCTATTTTAGAACTAATGTTGATGGAAAAAGAAGACAGAAGGAAAAAAGAAGTACATGAAGATCCTCGTGACTTAGTTTATAAGACAACTGACATTAGAAAAAACCAAGAGCCCCCTCTAGGGGTTACTGCAAGTTCTAACATAGGTGGATTCAGAACAGGTTAATGGTTTTTAGGGTTTGTATTTTTCAGTTTGAGTTACTCCAATTGAAATTTAACCTTAACTACAATATCAACAGTAAAATGACAGTTTAAAAAGAAAAGACTGACTCAAAAAACTGTATTAGATTTTGGATGAAACCTACTTACAGTACTTCAGCACCAAAATGTGGGCAGTTAGGCTTATACATTTATATACAATTAAATGATGTCAAAGTCATAAAATGCTTAGTTATTTATAATGAAATCTATACAAAACAGTTAAAAACATGGTTTTATATACATTTTGAAAAAAAAAGTATTGTCTCAATTACCAGAATGTATTAAAACTGGTTCTCTTGTCCCATCTGAACCCAAACCGCTCTCTGTGACTTGTAACTACCACAAAACCCCAATGTATTGCTTCAACAAGCCAAGGCATAAGGCTATATTTGGAAACCCACCATTGTATACCCATTTAAGCTTTTAAACTCCCCAAATGGTCAATTTTAAAAACAGCATGTAAGAGTAAAATACAGATTTTCAGAACTCTTAGCTCACTTCTAAATTCTCAAGTTCAACTTGGAAAGATGTTGAACTATTTATCCAAAATTTTGAAAAACTGATTAGTAGCAAAATGTACTTCCTTCTCCCTGGTTTGTACTAGAATTAATACAACTGCCTGTTTCACAGGAACTTTTTCCAACAACTTGCCTCACTTTAAATTTCGTATTTAAATAAATAATCAGAGGTTAACTAGAGTAGATGAGCATTTTGTATGCTTATGGCAGAAAGAAATGCCTCATCTACTATGACCCTACTTCTTGCAAAGCATGAAAACAAAACTCCACTAGCAAATCCACTTTGCTACCAGTTAGCGGTTTTGCTTATTTCCAAACATTCACCAGTAAGAATTAAAAAAAAAAAAATATTTTAAGCTTCTGAAAAAAATTTTTAAGTGAGCAGGAATGCAAGAAAGCCAACCCATTCCAAAATTCCTGGGGCTTTTCCAGCACTGTCAGACACATTTTTTCTCTCACATGCTATTTGAAAAGAAAAATATTTATTAAATGTTTTCTTTTTTAATGGTGTTTTGCTCAACAGCTAAAAAGACACAGGAAAATAATGATCTCTTTTCACTTAAAGATGTTTCAGTATCTGGGCAAGGGCTTCAACAGCACAAGCTGTAGAATTCATTACAGATTTGTTTTTGAACAGGAGTACATTCCACTGTCACAGGTTTACTAAATATTGGTACCTGCATCTTCTTTTTTTCCAAAACAATTTTTAAGATTCAGCTTTTGCAATACTGTCTTGTTAAAACCTACTGAGGCTTCAAGAGTCCAATGAACAATTCTAATAGGCAAAGTGCTCTAAGACATCACAATAGAAGGGCATCTTGGATGCTCAAAATCCCAAGGTATTTTAAAGTACACTCCAGTGTCTCTATTCCTTAGGATTGTTCAACAGAACTTTGAGAGGGGCTGGGCTCAGTGCCATCCTCAGTGCTACTGTCCACATCTTGCTCCATTGCTGTCTCCTCATCATCGAGGCGCTGACTGGTGAAGTTGTTGAGCTCCAGGAGTCCGCTGGGTTCCACCACCACATTGGAGCTGGAGTGACAAGGGATGGGATAGTGAGGGATAGTCTGAAAGAAAGAAAATATTTAAGTTCAATGAACAATATTGAAGGTAAAGGCATCTGTGCGAGCACAGATTTGTGGAAAAGGGATTATTTGGTTTCCAAGGGCAATTTTCCCTAACTGAGGCTTCAAAGCAGCCTTTCACTGGATTGGGTTTTGAAAGGTAAAATTTGAATAATCTTGCTCTGCAGGTCTTTGATATTCCCTAAAGGTCTGTGACAGCATAACAAATGCCCATCATCCACCATTCTGCAAACCCAAACAGAGATAATATTTTCTTCAGCCTGATCTTTTTTAGACAAGACGTGGTGACGTGGTGATAAAAGAATAACCTGAGTTAAAATGACTCACAAGGACCACAGAGTCCAACTCCTAGCCTTGCACAGGACAACACCAAGAATCCCACCAGGCAGTGCATTGTCCAAGCACTCCAGGAGGATTGTTTTTTGTATACAGCAGAGTTCAAGCTCTGGCCCTGCTCAGAGCTGCAGCTCAGAGGCTGAGGAAACACAATTGCTATTTATTTCTAAGATTATTATTATTATGGCTATTATGTTAGTTATTTTTAGTTGTACTTTCATAGGTTAAAAAGCTAAATCTCTGATTTTATACAACTGAAATTCTGGGCATTATTTGACTTTTGAAACAGCTCATAGCATGCCACAATGATAAATAGCATCAATTCTCAAAAGATACAGGTTTGAAGTAAAACAGAAATCTTTGTCTATATAAAGAAGACTAAAAGTGAATACAGAACTGGTAATTTCTACGAAAGAGAAGTTAGCCCCAGTAAAGACTTCACAAAGTATCACAAAAATTTGAAATCTCTATACACAAACTGTTTCCCACATCAGAAGTATTTTCACTGTAACACAATCATTATACATACTAAAACAATTTCAATTGTCAACAAAGATTCACATTATACCAGTTGGAAGACTTCTATACCTCCTCAGTTGACATTCTGACAACTTATTACAAAATAAACCATCATATTTAAGGCAGCAGAATCAATGAAAATATCAAGCATAGCAGTTAGGAAATGATTCAAAGCATTTACGCTAAAGATCAATAGCAATTTTATCTCAGAAGTGGTCTTACCCTAAGTGAAGTTAAAAAGTTTTCTTCTGATTTCAGACCTTATTTGCTGAACCCTTCCAGTAAGCAAACCCTACAATGTCATTAATTTTACACTCAGAAGCAACTTTAATAGATAATATAAAAGATTCTAGCACATAACTCTATACTAAGCGCTGAAGCAGTTTTAAGCATTGCAAATGAAACTACTTCGTAAAATGAGTTTGGTTGTTTTCTTAACAGAAGGAAGACACTGGAGACAGAGTAAATGATACACAGTACTAGAGAAACCTGAGCCCAATTAAGAAGAATTACACTTCAATGTAGCAATTGATTACAAGCTAAGAGTAGAAACAGAACCAAAACCTGGGGAATAAACCCCCAAGTACTCAATCATTTAGTAACTATCATCATATCAGACGTGTTTGCTGTGCTCAATCTTTGCCTTATTTGCTCAGTCTTCTCTTACCTGGACAACAATTTCTGATGAGCTCTCTTCAGCTTTCTTTTGTGATATATTCTGAATGTGTATGAACTGGTTTGTTGTAGGTATTCCTTGTGCATCGAGTTTCCTCTCTGTTAAAGTAGGACCAACAGCAGGAGGACTTGAGCTGGATTCTGTGTGTGTCTGTTGCTGGGGGATGGAAGGTGCCGTCATCCCTACTGCAGCCACCCTCGGGCCCTGGGTACAAGGTGACGACTCTGCTTCACTAGCAGCTTTACTAGTGGACGTGGCCTTGTTTGGGGGATCCACTATCGTGTGCTCTATGTTTGCATCAATCTGAGCTTCCACCATAGACACTCTCAACATATCTGCTACTGATGTCTCCGTGGGTGCCTGCATGGGAAATAGGCTGGTAACCAGCAATGCCAGTTTGGGCACAGAACTGCCACCTGCTACCTTTGAAACAAAAGGAGGCTCATGCCCCTCAAAAGTTATCTCTGTAACAGTGGATCCTTGCATTACAGTTAGATGTTGCACCTGAAAATCAAATTTTTATTGTGCATATTACAGTTAATATATTTTTTATTGAAATCCTCATCAATATTTCCAAGGACAGAATGGCACAAACATACTTGCTATTAGGAAGACAATTGAAACTCAGTGTTTTAACAAAGGAATTAGCAATGATAGGGCAACAGTTAATTGAAGCCTGGGGAAAAGCAGCTTTTTAGGCTGCTAGATAAGGATTGTAGCAGTATAATACCACAGCAGCGTAATTTTCCTTTGGGATTTACAGCCCTCTGGTATGTTTGCTAGTTTTCACATCTATTCCTGAAAGGACCAAAAAAATTGTACTTTTCTGGAGTTAGTTAAAATACATTTTTTTCCCATGTTCCTCAGTCTCTGCCTTTTTCCCTCCCAAGGAAAATCAAAATATTCCTGTGTATGAAAGCCAGATAACTTCAGGAAGATGTAAACTACAAAGGAAGAGGAACAATGGAGAGCCTTAGGAGACTGCAGTGTATTCATATTTATTTCTATAGAAATAAAAAGTGCTACGGGAATGGAAATTACACGTGTCATTGTCTAAAAATTAAAAGAAAATAACTAGGGACAAATTCCATGCATCAATGGTGGCTGAAATTATAAAAACTGTCCAACAAAACATGTTTGTGAGCTCTATGGATTTTCTCCTATAACATGTGCTTCTCTCTCCTAGTGTCAACCTTCTGCTGCGGTAATTACTACCAGCAGAAGGAGGGATTCTCTCTTGCCAGGACAAAACACTGCTACAGCGACAGGGTCGGTGTTTTATTTTTTTTCCTTGAACAGCGACGTGTATTTTGCATGCTATCAATATTCCGTTACCTGGCTTGCTGGCTGTTTCTCTGAAGAGGCAGGTAGCTGCATTTGACTCTGGGGGGGCTGGGGTTGCACGTAGATTTTTTGTGCCGTTGGTGCCTGTTGCAGTTTGGGCAGCTGCTGCGTGGTTTTTACTGCAAGCACCTGTACTACAGTTTGCTGTGGCTGTGCCACTAAGGTAGGGAGTTGCCTTTCTTTGGCCATCATATGATGTGGGGGGTGCTGTGCATCTGGTTTGGTCTGTGCTTGCTCTTGCTGCAGGGGGGTTAGCTTTTGATGCCTTATGGAAAGTTGGGGCATTTGTGGGAGTTTGTGCTGGATTTGATCAGCCTGCAGGTGGATTGTCTGCTTCTGCTTAGTCTGGAAACACTGCAGAGTTTTCACTTGCAGTTGAGTCTGTTCCAGCTGCGGCTGACTCAGTTTCTGCTGCTTTTGTGCCTGCGATTGCGTCAGGGCAGATCTGTAAAACAGGCCAGTCTGAGGATCTAAGGTGTCCATCTCTTCCACTTCTCCCTCCTCAGTTCCAAGTTGTTCACTGTGTTTGGTAAATGCAGTGTGACTGCTTAAGGCCTTAAGAAGAAGAAGAATTTAGAGCAAGTTAGTAAAGAGAAATATAAGAATACACAATCTAGAAACATTTTTTTAATGTTTCAAATGGACTACTTTAACTTTTTTTACCATTCCAGACACCCAATGCATGTACAAAAAAATACTCTTGCATTTCACAATATATAAGCAATCAAGATCTATTATTATCATGTTAAACTGTAGTACATCTCTGTGTGAGAACATGAGCTTCACAACTAACCCTCCGAGGGATTATGTAGATCTCACTTGTGTCAGACTGAGGCTCAAAGCTCCCTCAGGTTGCCTGGCAGTTGGATATGAAGCAGTAGAGAGTAGCAGGTGGCTGAGCCAGGAGCTCCTCATTCAAGCCAGAGTCTCTCTGCACAATATTTTTTTTATTCTGCCTCTAGAAAGCCTAATCATCTTCTCTAGGGTTCCTTCTATAGGGCCCCATTTAACTACAGGCACTATTTTAGCACAGATCCTCTCTTCTTCTTCCTTTCCCAAAATTGCATTGCAATTTTTCTTGGGCATTACACAAACATTTGACTTCTTGAGGGAACGAGCAACCTATGCTTTGTAAACCAAAATGTATAAATGCACTGAAAAATGGTGTTAGCAAGATCAAACAGCCTAATACCTGTAAAAATATACTGCCTGACATGAGTTTGTAACTCTAATGCAGTACTGTTCTGGACTGCAGCTGAAGTTCCCACAAGTTAAAGCACTGCAGAGTTGAGCAGGTCCTGATCAAAGTCATTCAAGTGGCTTCAGCAAGACTTCACCACAAGCTGCACTTCTTGTTTGAATAGTCTGGAATCCCCACAGTCCTGATCTAAATATGATCTGAGTTTTTGATTCAGAGAAGGTTTCCTACTCACAAACTAAAGACATCAAATGAAAAAGATACCGTGCGCTCTGTGTACTGACCAGATTCCATTTCACACCTCTTCCCCCTACACTACCACCAATATAACCTAATGAGGTCAGGACACTGCAATACTACAACCACCCTCACCATCAAAACACAATCACAGAATGGTTTGGCTTGGAAAAGACCTTAATGACCATCTAGTCCAACCCCCCTGCCATGGGCAGGGACACGTTCCACTAGACCAGGTTGCTCCAAGTCCTGTCCAACTTGGCCCTGAACACTTCCAGGGATGTGGCATCCACAACTTCCCTAAGCAGTCCATACCAGTGCCTCACTACCCCTACAGTAAAGAATTTATTTCTAATATTTAATCTAAACCTCCTCTCCTTTGGCTATTGAAGTGATATTAAAATCATTTATTTGCCTGTATGCTGAACATTTTTGGTGGCAGCACCATGATACATACATTCAGAATAAGCCCTGCTCCTATGTAATTTATATGACCTACTGCTGTTTATAGACTTCTGGGAAAAGAAAGGATCCAACCTGCTGCATGATATGGGTAATGGCGCCAGTGGAGGATGCAGGAATAGATTTCACCACAACAGAAGTCTGCGTTGCTGTCTGTGACTGAGCCACGTGCTGCACCAGAGTCCTCTGGGGCTGAGATGACTGGTGGGGCTGGGACCGATGACTGACTGAAAGTAAAGAGGTCAGTGGCACTTCTCCAGAACTAACTGCAGGAACTTCAACTGTTTGTTTTGCAGTTAAGCTTCAACTGAAAGCATACATGAGTGAAAAAGATCTAAGCATGGAAAATGTCTTTCACTGTGTGCTAGTGTCAACCTTAATGATGTATTCTGAAAAACCCCTTAAAGAAGCAACTCTGAGGTTTTGCTTTTGTCTGTTTCCTAAGTAACCACACTTGGTCCAAACCTCCTCTGGTCACCCTTTCCCAATACAACAATTTTGCAAGCAGAGTTTATGCTTGATGTTCACCTGGGTTCTTCATACAGCACTAGAATATTGCTGTAGAATACAAGTTATTATGTGGTTTTTACACTGTTAAAAGCATGTCCACAATTGACTGCAATTAAGAACAGTAAACCTTGGTCACCAGGTTTCTACCACTGATAAACTGCACATAATACTCCTCAGAGCATAAGCTAAATTTGAAAGATTAGCAAGATTAGATTAGCAAAATAAGACAAATTAGAAAATGTTTGGGTATTATTAAAGCAAGTGAGGCTGATCAGAAATTATAGATCAAAAAATGTAGACCTTGTTATGGGTCTATGTCACTTTTGAGAACAGATCTAGCTTGAGTTACAGAGTTATAGTGATAGTCCTGTAATTAAACAGTGGATTGATAGAAAAATAATGTGCTACTGAGAAAAAAAAAAATTCTATATTCCAGTCACTGATAAGATATGAATCCAAATCTCTTTATGTCTGTCTATACAAACATGCAAATATTTGTGTAACCTAATTTCTTAGTTACTAAGTATTTAATCACCAAAGGAGAACAAGCAAAGTTTAAATTCAGTTGTAACATAACTTAAAATTAAAGTTTCTAGTGACCTTCCTGAGAGGTCTCTTTTCTTTTTTAAAGAAAGGTCAGATATTTAATTGATATGGTAATTTTACTTTCTCACTCCAAGAAAGTTAGTTTACATCACTACTGGCCTGCATGCTGTGCCAGATTTATCCTGGATATCTCCCAACAATTCCTATACAATTGAAAACTTAATTTAAAAATGAAGTTTCTAACCTATATGGTTGTGTAGATATTCTTCCGAATGTGACCCAATACAGTGTTGTCTTCCTGAGTCTGCAGACAGACAAAAAACGGTGACACTAAGATGTGTGAATTGCTCCCTTCATCTCGTGAGGAAGCACACTCTGAATCCCAGCTCCCAAGTATCTAATCCTTTGGTCCAGGCGCATGCAGGACATTTCACAACAGACTATAGATTCTTTACTATCTTACTGCTGAATTTTTAGCAGAAAATATAGCTATGTGGGTTGCTGATAAATTCAGAGAAGCACGAATCAAACCAAAAAGAAACTCAGTTACTTCCATTCCTTGGCAATGTTCAGAGAAACTGGGAGAAGGGACAAAAATCTAAGCGCAAAATAACCAGTTTAGTGCTGCAGCAGAACCTGCTGCTGCCAACCCACAGGAGTCTGCACTTTTCTGGAAGATTCCCACATTTCAAATCAATGTTTACAGAAATCCTAATATTTAAAATAGTATCTCCATATCTCCAGGAAATTTTTAGCCATTGTACTTTGAATGGTTTCTAAGCTACAGAAAAGAACTGAAGTCTACAAAGACACTGACTGTAATTTTCCATTCTCCCTGCAAAAGGCCTTCTTGTACATCAACTTGCACAGCAAGACCCATCAAAAACTAGAACCTTGAAGAGAAGCTCAATGCACAATATCTCGTGTCAGTGAAGATATTTGACTGCTAATTCAAAAGCACTTTAACACCATTTATTGTACTTTGGAGTTTGTTCTAAAAGAGATCCAAGGGAGCACGATTCAAATATTTGAAATTGAAGCCAGATACAGTAAGTGCTATTTAAAAGAAAAATAATAACACCCCCCCAGCCCAAATTTTACACAACTTAAATTCAGGCCATTCAAGGAATGGGAGCAAGGGGAGAAGGTACAGAACAAAATGAAAATATCAGATTAGACATTTAGCACTAAAATCATGGAGCTACAGATATGTGGTAATACAGTTTAATACAATTAAGTTTTATTTCTCTTTTCCAATGTAGACTTTCAACATGTTTTTGCTTTCATTTTCCAAACAATATAGAGACCAACAATATGGGTTTAAGAAATTAAAATGGAAAACAGGTAATGTGATCCTTTCATGTCTCTGTGGGAAGTGGCCCATACCTAGTGTTCTGGGGTAGTAGGGAACATCAGAGAGACAAGAGAAAGGAGTTACACAAAATGGATGTCCAAATAGGAGTAAAGAATTTAAAGAGATGAATTTGAGTAACTTATACATTTTAGAAAGGCATATTTATTAGTTCAAGGCTTTCTAGAAAATGAAGAAACTGGGGCTACATTACCGTGCTAAATGCACACCTGGCTTTACTCAGGACTAAATGGATTTTAACAAAATTCCATGTCTGACTTCTTTCAGTATGTACAAAAACTAGGCTACAGTTCCTCCAGCTTCGTTTTCTACTTTGTTTTACTAGACATTTTCCTTTAAGGGTGGTGGGACAGTCTGTCTTCGACATCCAGGGAATGGAACATCTATTCAATCTACTATCCTGAAGCAACCACTCTGTTTCAGTTAGAAACATTTTCACTTATAGCCCAGCAAGGCAGATGCAATCTCTGTCCCCTGCATAGGGTCTCAGAAGTGGAAGAAAAACCTCATTTCCTCCACAGAAAATTACAGCAAAAACACAAAAGTAAAACCTATTGTAAGAAAACTGCAAAATTAAGTCCTCAGACTTCAACTGCAAAGCCACCCTCACACTAACCTTAGACACTTACCAGTTGTGATATATTCAGCCACTAGTTCTGACTCTACAACAGCAATTGAAGGACTTTCTGGAGAATGCCTCTTTTCTTGAGTCATCTGGATTGGAACAGCCATTTGGCTCAAGTCAATGGTAGGCTGCCTTGGCTTTGATTCCAACTTTTCCTTCACTACTTTAGAAGAAAGACAAAGCATAAAATTAACCTCTGATATATAAACCTTCATAATGAAATAAATCTACAATATAGATGTACCAGTTTAATTAAATATAGTGAACATTGTAGATGCAAACAAACTGATATAGGATAAAATAGACGAATCAAGTTGATTCAAGGTAAGTGCTTTTCAACTACAAAACTTATTACAAAAGCCTGCTTAAGCAAAAAATAACCTCTGAAGTTATCCTAAACAATCTCATGGGTTTTCAGACCTGTTGTCTGCTGAAGTTCCAGCAAAGCTTTTATTGTGGAAGTAGCTGACTGAGATTCGCTGGATACGTCCTGGTAAATTATTGTAGGGTTTGTGTCCACAGGAATTTCATGTTCTGACCAATCTTGACTTCTTGAAGCAATCACATGGACTACAGGCTGAGAATCTGTTTGCAAAAAACCAAAGGCACATTATAAAATCATGTAATGGTTTGGGTTGGAAGACACTTGAAAGCTCATCTCATTCCAACCCCCTGCCAAGGGCAGGGACACCTTTCACTAGACCAGGTTACTCCAAGCTGTGTCGGACCTGGCCTTGGACACTTCCAGGGATGAGGCAGCCACAGCTTCTCTGGGCAACCTATGCCAGTTCAAGTCATCATACAACCATTTCGGTTGGAGGGCTCTCATCAAACTTCTTGCTTTAAACCAGAGTGATAATTCAAAATTACACCAAATTACTCATTACTTTTTAGTTTTGAACATTGCTAAGGCTGCGTATCTCATTCTGCAACACTTTAGTTTCTATTTCAATTGATTCTTGAAGTAAAACACTGTTGATGTTATGAACAGTTTCCAGCAAAAAAACAGAAGTTCTGTATCTTAGTTTTTTGTAAAAGATTTTGTTTGAAAAATCAAGCAGATTTCTTTGTATGTTGAATTTGCCTTGGATTGAACTTTTTTTCCAGAAGGTTTTAGCAGTTCAGGTGGTCAGCATGTATTCAGCATTCTGAACTAACAGCACCTAAATTTTGGTAAGTTGGTTGAATATTCAGAACTTTTTAAAAACTTACTTAGATGGCCATATAGACCAATAGTTACAGAATTATATAGAAAAGTACAAAGGTTTCACTGAGGAACTTGCTTTAATTTGCTGTACTGATACGTATCATGGTCACTCCTGAATAGAGGTTGGATTTTGTTTATGTCCTATTATTTATTGCTCCTCTTACACACAAAGACCTGGATCTATATCATGGCTTGAAGCCAGGGCAGGATTCCCATCAGGACTGCATGTCTGATATATGTCCTGATTCATGTACACATCTACAAAAGGACCAAGATTTGTGCTGGTCCCATGGCAGCATTCAGACATGCAGCAGAGAAATGCTTTGATGCAATCTGGAAAGACAGTGGCAGAGCATGGACTCCCAAAATAACCTCCATAACTTGTTACCCTGCCTACATCTGGCAGACTCTCCAGGAAGAGGGAACAGGTTGCACTGTAACAGCAAATTGGAGCCCACCAAAACACATTTATCATCACTTTTCAGGATTAATGAAAGCATACAGTAAGTAGCTCAAAAGAAAGAAAAATATAAAAGTACGGGAACAACAGTGCTTCACTGCAAACAGATGGGGTGAAACCTGTGCAAAAAGGAGACACGGAGCTCTCTGGAGCAAGCTGGCATGCTTGGAAGACAGTCCACTCATACATTATGTGACACCAACACAGACCTTGAGAGCTCTGGGAAGACTCTGTAGAAGAAGAACTACTGTCAGTGTAGGTTTGTGGTTCTTCTTTCACTTCTGGGAGAGATGAGTTTCCTGTCTCTGCTACCCTTGAAGCCTGCTGTAACGTTTCAGTGACCAGCTGTCTGGTTTGTTCACTCACAACTGTTGCTTGAAATGTCACTGGCTTTGGTTTTATGAGGACCTAATTAGAAAGGTAAATTTTGTTTATAATAAAAACACTCAAGAAAACAGATATGAGCAATCAGAGTACAGGGTGCCACTCAGATCTATGTACAAATAGATCTACATACATAATATGTATATAATAATATACCTACATAATATTAATATTTTACTTAGAAAGTCTACCTCTAAATTCAGCAACTTTGATTATTAAACCGTAAAGTCCAAGTAAATGGCAATGCACAAGAATGTACTTTTCACTCAGTAATTTGAAGTGTTTAACACACTAAACCACTAAACAGTTATTTTTCAGGACTAGATAAAACTAGTGTGATAAGAGAAAGCTATGCAAGTGAGCTGGAACATGCACTGCACTGATAAGGACAAGCACTTCCACAATAAATACAGTCTTGAACAACCAAAACACACAAAATGTTACATCTCATAAAAGCTTAGTTCTTTCAAATACTAAGTGCAGCCAGAGAAAAAGCTGAAACTGAAAGCATCCAGAAATAAGCCAGATTCTCTGTATATAGCCCCACCAACTACACAAGGTTGCAGGGATAGCCAGAACAGGTATTAAGCAGAAAATAAACTTCTATAACACCTCAGATTTGATGAATGACCTATGTCCAGATTCTGCATCTTTATTTCTAATGGTCTAACCATCAGCTGTAAAATGTAAACAAGTATCTGGAGCCAGGGCCAGACAGTTTCAGCTCCAGAAAAGGCTTAGTAAATCCTTTTGGCTTGCTGTAGGCCTTCAGAAAAAGCTAACAAATGCAGATACTGTGCTTGAGAAATCAGGATTGAGGCCACCTCATTACGCCACTTAAGTCTCATTCCCCACAGATATATATTAAACCTGGAACAAATGAGGAAATACATTGAAAAATTATTTACTTCCCATTAAAATTTAGGGGTACATTCCAAGACAGAAAGGGGTCCTCACTGTACCTGTGTTTTCCCTTGTTGACCATAAACAATTTTAGTTGGGATGATTTTGGTGGCTGGCTGGACCGTGGACCCTATTCCTTTTGGCTGTGTAACAATCATTTTTGTGATGGGTCTTGTGGCAGTGATGATAGCAGGTTTTGCTCCTGCTGGCACTGCCTGAATAGTTTTCTCCCCCTGTAGAGAAGTCAAAGTTTACAGATTAACTTAATGGAATTGTTCAGTGAGACCCAATTTTCCAAAAAAAAAAAATACAGTTATATGTGAGTGTGTGTACCATGAAATAAATCTGCTGCTACAACTACATTTATTTGATGGAAAATACATTAGATGACCAAGAACAAAAAAACCTATAGTTTTGAATGGAAAAAGCTACCAAAATCCACTTTTCCATTACCTTATCTTTCAAGCAGCTCAGAAGGGGTGAATAAAAAGAAGTAACTAAAAGACATGAAGTTTTTAAAATTGGAACTTTCTTCAAATCCTTCACAAATGTTTTTTAAGACCACCAATTTCTGTTAACACTAACTTTTGGCAAGACACCTACAAAACCCGACCTGAGATTCTAAAAAAATAATTTAAATATAGATTTTTGCCTTGTCTTCAGGACCAAGACATTAATTATGTACTTTTTTCAATTAAAAGTTCACTTCATCAAAAAATCCAGATTTACAGCAGTTTCACAGGAATCATTCAACTACAGAATAGTGTTTACATATGACTAGACTCCTGATAGCTTAAGAAGAGCAAATACATTGAGCATGCTTTTTTTTAAGCTCTGCACAGTAACAAACCAATAGTAACACAGTAATAGCCACTTCCTACCAATATCCATGAAATAGCTGGAAATCCCCCAAACCATACTTGTTTCAAAAATACCATCCCATTTTGGTAGCTACTAGTGTGTAACATCATAATATTTCCACTTGTCTGCAAATACTTTAATTCTAAAACTAGGGAAGTTCAAAACTTAAAAAAAAAAATCATAAAAGATTTAAAAAAAAAAACTTTCAGTAGTTCTGCTACTCAAGCAGCCTTTTAAATTTTATGGGAATAAGGCATTAAATCTCACAGTTTTATCTAGGAACACTGATAATTTTTATTTACTAGTACTTACAGATAAGCTCAGTTGATGCCAGAAACTTGATTTTATTCTTAGGTATACGTCAGGTTATCCAAAAAATAATTCACCACTGTGCAGTACCCAGGGCACAGGATGCCACAATGTTACACACCACTTTAATTGAAAGTGGTTTCCCTACTGTGAAGACAGTTTATTTCTGCCCTTTATACCAAAACAAAAAATGGCTGGAGATGCACAATTATCAATATGTTATCAATACAGGACCCCAGTTCTCACTGAGCAAACAGGCTAACTTCTAGTAATTTTCATCTACTTTACTGCTTCAGGAATACAAAATCATTATCCATTTAAAAAAAGTTCTAAAGTTTATATTTTCCTTTATCTTTGAAAACATCCCCAGTTTGCTTTCAGCATATTCTGCAAACCATAGTCAGTTTTTAAAGATCCCTGACATCAAGGCATGCTGGATTTGTTAAGGAGCTCATGCACAGTTTGCTTTTAATTGAGCCTTTAGCAGAATGGAGGACAAGAAGCAGCCACCACACAGCTTGTCACCAGGCTCTTAATTTGAGACTTGAAACAATTACTTACCCCAGCATTCAACAGTGTCGTGACAACATTTTTGCCAGGAAGCCCTTGAATTGTCGTTCCTTTTCCAGTAGTTTTTTGCACAACAATCACATTGGGTTTTGATGTCATTGGAATTGTAGTGATTTTGGTCGTAGTTCCTAAATTTTTGTGGGGGGAAAAAAAAAGTGCAGTTTACCACATTTTGTATATTTCCTTTCACCACAGAACTTGGTGAGCTATAGAGGAATCATATTTAAATCTGACACAAGCACATCAAGAAACCAGCAGCATCTGGAATGCGAATTCATGTCACCCAACTCAACAAGGAAAGATTACATGCCAACTCAACAAATCTTTCACCTACAGTGAAAACAGCTGTGCCCAGGGGAACATAATGTATTCTACATTAGGGCAGGCAACCCCTTCTCACAAGTTACAGAGTAGACTAACACAGCTTTTTCAGGCAAACATGTAGAACTTTTCAAAGGCTGGACTTAGGGTGGGATAAGGACATCATTAATACTGACTCAAGGTCCTATTTGCACAGACAAATACTCTTCTACAAATGACCTCTGCAGAAGAATCGATGTACCAAGGATGTATCTCCAGTCAAGAGAAACACCACCTCTTCCTGTTGTAATGTAAGTGATCAGTAGTGGATTGAAAGGAAAAAAGAAAAATACGCTATTGTTTCACAACAAGTCCATAAAAGCTAAGTTTAGAAGTGTGTTGGTTTTGTGTTTTTTGTTGGTTTGTGTTTCTTTTTTCTTTTGTGATTTTTTGGGGGGGCTTTTTTTCTTTTTTGGTTAATTGTTTTGGAGGTTTTTTTGTCTTGTTTTGGTTTTTGTGTGTTTTTGTTTGTTTGTTTGATTTTTGAAGAGCTGACCTGGCTATTTCTGTTCCTATGTTAGTATTTAATTAGTTCCATTCCCTTTATCAGGTTTTTAGTTACCTGCACTGACAGGTAATTCTGGTTAGCCTTCCACAGTCTACAAAAGTACATACACTGGAATCAGCCATCAGTGCTATCAAACTGCCATTGCAGTAGCTACTCAGACAGCTTTTTATATACAATTTCTCCTTTCTCCAGAGGAAAGCACCGTTCAGTCACAACAGAGCTGCAAACCCAAGGATTCCCTTTACTACCTTCTACTCATTAGTCATGCCTGTAGATTCTTCACAACCTATTTCAGATTAACAATTCTACCAATTCTGGAAAAGGGAAGACATGCTGAGACAAGATTATGATTTATTTAATCCTACTGACTTCAGAGGCATCTAAAGACTGCTCCCTTAGCAAAAACAATTAAGCAAACAAAAAGAAAAAAGCAGGCATGATTTCCAAATTTGTGTTCTTCCAGGACAACCATTATTATCCTCATCAAGATCACTCACAGGTTTCCCCACATAAGCTGCTGCTCAGGAGAATACTTCCACTTGTGTATAATTCATTACAAGACTTAGAGATTGTCTTAGCAATTCACAACACCCACAACAGGCTAAAAAAAGTTCCTTGTTGCCAAAGAAGATGCTGTATCATCACTAAGTATAATTCTGTGGAAATCAAAACCTGTAAAACTGTTCTACCAGATTACAGCCCAAGAGTGTGTTTACTGGATAGCTTGTGCAGCACCTTGCAGTGACTGGAGCTGGCTGGTGCCATGTCGAGTCCTTGCTAAACAAAGCTGAAGTCCTAAAGATACACAAGAAATTGTCACTACTATCAGTGTGCTTGGTCCTGGTCCCAAAGAAACCCTACCTTCAGAGATGATAGAACCACCCAATGTTTTGGGTTGGAATGTGCCTAGAAGGTCATCCACTTCCACTCCTGTCAAGGACAGGGACATCTTCCACTACACCAGTGCTCCAGGCCCCACCCAACCTGGCCTTGAACACTTCCAGGGTTGGGGCAGCCACAACTTCCATGGGTAACATGTAGCAGCACATAACCAGCAAGGAGACCAATGGCTGATCAGCAGACTAACAAAGATAACCAGCACGATCTGCATAAAGCTGGGAGGGAAAGCTTAAGGCAGAACATGGTCTAAAGGAAAGACAGGCTGCCACTGGTAAAATATCAAAATAAGGTGGAGACTGCATAGCTGAATTTAACATACACAGTCCATTTTTATTCTGGTTCTTCAGATATGCAGTGGAACAGAGAAGGGCAGCACTGAGATTATAAAATGTTTTGAATTTGGGCCAGTAGTGTTTTCTGATCTTTCTGTCCTCTGTACAACATACTAGTCCCCACCCCACATTTCTCTTTCCTCCCAGTTTTCCTTTACATTTGCTGTTTCCTTCTGAAACACAAGAACTACCACAATCCTTAAGAACACTCTACCTTCAAACTTCTACCTATAACCTTCTTCTTCATGCTCAGCTATTTTCCTTCTGAATTCTCCAATAAAGGTTCTAATAACTATTCAAGCATGTAACCCACAGAAAAGCCATGCACAATTAAAGCAAGCCCAAAGTTACTTTTGAAATAAAAGTCTTACCAGTAACAACAGTACTGATATACCTACCAGAAACAATATTACTGCTGATGATCTTTCCTCCTAGAGTAGCCAGTGATTTTGGTACTACGGTAATGATGCTACCACTTGTAGTTTTCACGTAAGTAGCAGCCCCTGGAGTTCCAGCCATCCGAGCTCCCAGAGATGGGCTCACCGTTGGCCGTGTATATGTTGCTTGAGTTCCTGTTTTAAAGAGAGAGAGAAAAAAGTTCACTGTTACAACACAATCCTCTACCAATATTTGTGGAAAAATATGTTAGTTTAGGAGAAAAGTGTCAGATTTATTCAAGGATATCCCATCCTGCAATCTATTACCACCCTTTAAAATTCTTCTAGTAATTTTTGAATTCACAGAGCAACATTCAAGTATATACTAAATTTAAATTGAATATAACAGTCTTCTGAGTATTTTAACAAATGTTCCATGACTGCCTTATTTTAATTCATGTCCTTGCATGTAAGACTGTAATTTTCAGTAGATGTGCAAATTCTCCCTGTAGTTTTGCCTCTTGCTCCCTTAGATGCCCAGGAGTCAGGCATCTGATGACACTACCAGAACTCATCCCTTCCTCTCAAGAATGACACTTGTCCTATATGACAGATTGCTTATAAAGAGAACCACCAATGATTAGTTTAAGTAACACCCTTAGAAAAAAATATGATTTACAACGATAATGCTATTTTATGGACTCAGCATACAGCAGCACAAAAGAAACCTCTCAACATAGTATAAAAGCTGGTTTTCAGAACTAGTCCTTTTCTGAATGCAAAGAGAACTGAGTCCACAAAAGCAAAAATAGCAACAGCTACACAAACACTGAAATTCCATTTTGCTTGTAATGCTGCAGATAGTGCCCTTGATTGCTAAATATCAGAGGAATGCAGTTTGTTTCATCAAGAAAGATGTGTTCACATCCAAGAGAGCACAGTACAGACTTCACCAACTAAATGAACTGCAAAACATTTCTTTTTTTTTAATGCACTCAAAAATGTATGTGTGGAGTACTTTAAAAGTTATAAACAGAGTTTTAACCATTAGTTTATGCTAAGGACATGAGGAGATGGCCTCAAGTTGCACCAGGAGAGATTCAAGTAGGATATTATGGAAAGAATTGCTCATGGGAAGGGTGGTCAGACATTGGAACAAGTTGCCCAGGGAAGTGGTGGAATCAACATCCCTGGAAGCATTCAAAAGCCATGTAGATGTGGCACCTGGGACAAGGTTTTTACTGGTGAACATAGTGGTGCTGGGTTAATGGTCAGACTAGATGATCTTAGAGGGTTTTTCCAATCATAAATATTTTATGGTTCCAATATTCCCAGCCCATGCTAAAAAAAAAAAAAAGGAAATAAAGAGTTTTCTGAAAACCAGGATAAAGCTACCTTTTAAGTTTTCCTCATGCAATTTTACAATCAGAACAGGCTGCATTATTATCTATTAGAAACACAAATACAACCAGATGCTCAGAAAAACACTGGGAGCTTAAATTTTAATTTACTGGTCTTTTTATAAATTCACTGCAGGACTATGAGCAAGTCACATGTCTTTTAAAGTCCATCTATGCAAAACAGGAATGGTGCTGACCTGTCTGCTTGAGTTAAACCAGTATAAATCATGTAATATAAGGTACTACAGAAGTGCAAAGTATTTGTATAGATTGCATAAAAACTTCCTTTAAAATAAACCCGGTGGGGAAGGAACAATGGTATTTTTGTGTACCAATTCAAACAGTGGAATAAAAGAGCACTCAGTAGAAAAATCCTGATCTGGAATAAATAACAACAGGACTGTGAACGTGGCATTGTGCCCACTGTTCAGAAGAGGTAAGTGCCTTTTTTTAACCCTAGGAAACCATGCTTGATCACCTGTATGTCTGGATTTACCCTCCCTTCCCTTCTCAGAGCCATAACTTACCAGTGGGAGTAGTGACCAGTTTAGTTGTCATGATAGTCCCATTACTGCTAACCACCATAATGGGTGAATTGCTACTGCTGGGCAAGGTCGCTGTAACTGGTTTGGGAAGGATTTTACTGGGCTGCACCTGTTGAGTGATTATTTTAACACCTAGGAAAGGAGAAAGGTCACTGTTAAAATACAGGCACGATAAGTTACTTTCTGAAATGCTTTCTCAGACCAAGGCCTAGTGGGAAAGTAGCCCCAGAAGGCTTCAATTCTGAGCCCATACATCTTGATAATGAAAAAAATTATTTAATTTTTTAGGGTTTCTTTTTTTCTTAGTTTTGGTTGGGTTTTGTTTGTTTTGCAATACCAAGAAGTCATGTACTTTGCCTTTCATGTGCCTGTTTCAGTTCCTACTTCCACTGTCCATTCCATCACTGATTTGTTGACGTTATTTTTTTATTTTTCCTGGTCTATGATACAAAAAAACAGAACTTTCCCAGGAGCCAACAGGTTAAAACCAAGACTGAATAGGTTCATATACAATGAACCATCTACAAGCAGTAATTTTTCATCAATTCAGTCTATAAATCCTAATGTGTCATAAGCCTAGACAAACTTTACCATCCTGAATAAATTAAAAAACATTTCTGCACAAGGAGCATTAGTGACTATAAGGAAGCAACTGTGACACTGGCTAGGGAAGGTTACTTTAAGTAAACTGCTCTCTTTCCCCTTGATTTACTGGTTATCTTAAAGCCACAAAGAAATTTGGCTTAAGCTATGACTAGATCAGTAAGAATGAACGATGAGGGCACCTTAGTACCTCCAGGATTCTCCTCCCTCTCTCTTAATTTTATGTTGGGGCATGGTACCTCTGTGAGATTCACTTCTCAGTTGCAAACCAGTGCATTCACATCTGTTCAAAAGTACATCCAGGAGATGTGCATCTTATGATCTGTTCCATGATGAGGTAAATGCATTGCATTGTGGTGGCCAAATGCCATGGAACATACAGCCTGAATGAATCTCATCTAGATGAAGCACTTATGTTTATACACAAGTATTCCTAGGTGAAAAGTCTTGTCCACTTGAGATATGGAACATCCTTCGGAGATGGCTTCTTTCTCTACACTGACTGTAAAAGCAGTACAGAGCAAGTAAGCTCCAAACTGAAAGAGAAATTGAAGTCTCTGCATCATCCAAACACAAAACTGAATAAAAAGTAAAGTTTCCATAAAAACTGGTTCACATCTTCCAGAAAGAATTGGTATCAGATGGTATTTCCAAAGAAACTTTTAACTAAGAAGTACACTGAGCCCACATTCATTGTAGAAGTCGAGAAAATGAAGCTCACATTGACATTGTTCAGTGGCTGGAAGCCTTTTTTATGTCTTAATTAGTAGCTATTCTTTTTCTTAAGCAGCGGTCGTATAATCCAAAAGGTAGTTTTATCAAAGGACAGGAGTAGGCAATTTTATCAAAGGACAGGAGTAGGGCCGTTTTTTTTTTCATTCCATGGTCTATTTTAATTCTTTGATCTAAATAGTATGATATAAAATAAGAATTTTACTGACAGGATTAAAATAAAATACTGATTTTATATTAATATACATAAAAATACTTTGCACTTTTATAGCACTTATTTGAGAACTGGTTAAATTTGCAAATTTTATTTCTTACTACTTGCTCAGATAAAAACTATGTGCTACAGCAGAGAAAAACCAAGAAAGAAAGATAACATGACTTGCCCAAAGTCAGCTGAATGAATCAATATCACAAAAAGAATCCAGTCTAACTTCCAGATCTAACTGTATTTGTTTTGACAAGTACCTCAAAAGTACGTCTTGATTTCTGGACCAAAGAAAATAATTAAAACATGGAGTAACTTCTTTTTCCAGGTGATATAGTTGAACAACTCTTGGATCTTCAGAAAACTGGTGTGTTTCAGGTTGCCAATCACATTACTTTTGAAGTTATTTACATACCTGTCAACCTCTAAGATAAAAACACATATACCTAAAGCATGGTCTGTAATACCTGAACCAAACAAGAAGAGTGAAAGAACCAAATTCTTTAATTACTCTTACTTGAAAACATTAAAACATCCTTCACTATCTACTTATATTCATGTTTGAAGCCAAATCCTGTACTCAAGAAATCATGCCTTCATGACTACTCGCCCATAAACGTTTTGGGGCAGAATTCTGCCCTACTTTCCTGAGTTGCAGCAAGACCTCATCAATGTGACCCAAGATCAACTCCAACTACCTGATTCCTGCTTGATCTGAATGGTGGGCTTGATGCCAGCTGGCAGCTGAGATTGCTGTGGCTGCTGCTGGGCTACAGAACACGGCACCAGCTGCTGCTGCTGCGGTTGCTGCTGCTGTTGGGCCTGTTGGACTTGGTGCAGCTGCTGTTTGGGAGACTGCTGATGCTGTTTGGGAAACTGTGCTAAGATCTGAGTTGGATTCCCAACCAAACCTTTTGGGGAAGGTAGTCTGGTAGAGGCAACTTTAACTGCTGATGTAGATACACCTGTGAAAGAGTAAAGGGTTTAAGATTCACCAGTGCAATGAGAAAGAAAAATATTAAAATTTCTAAAATAATCTTGCATTTCAATTATCTTTACTACTGAAAAATACATTGATATATGTGAGGAAATAAAGCTCCCATGTAGCAGAAGTGCTCTGTTAGGAGGAAATTGAGCTTTATACAGATTTTCAATGTGGCAGCAGAACAGCAGCTAATGGAAAGACCACAAACCCAGTCTACTTCTGCACCTTTTGTAATATAAATAATTCAATAATATTTTCAAAGTCTCATCTTTAAGCTTCAAGACAGCAAAATACCTACAGTGAAACCATTTAAAATATAGATATAGATATATCTGTATTTATAAATATTTATAACAACCTAGTTTAGTGGAAGGTGTTTTCGCCCCTGGCAGGGGGGTTGGAACTACATCTTTAAGGTCAGGTCCTTTTCAACCCAAAACATTCTGTGGTTCAATGATTCTAAAATCACAATTGCAAGAAGCTGGCGTTGGGATGATGTCAAATATCAAACCCATCAACATTGGAAGAGAGTATTTGCTAGCAAAAGGTTTGTTTGGCATTTTAAAAAAATCAAGTAATTGTATGTAAATTATAAAACTGTGGGCCACCTGTTTTATGCTGTTAGGTTAGGTGATCTTATAAGCAAAAGTGATTAAAAGAAGTTTGCAGTAAGATGGAAAGACAAAGTTCCCAAATAAATCTTATTACTTATTTCTGTCATTCCCCTACATAGCTGTCACAACATTTACAGCAAAATCTGACTTTGTATATAGTTCTAAACTACACATCCATAAACACCAAAACAAAGTCCATAACTTATGAAGTATTTTTTTAAGTAAATCCCAGTTGCAGTGGAAAACAGAACCAGATAGAAAGTGATAATTACAGAAATCATAGTAAAGGTACAATTCTGGCAATCTAAATAAGCAACCCTTTTCTCACTGCATCATTTAAGGTGACTACACCACTCCCTTGGGCAGCTCTTTTCATTAATGAATTTAACTTTACATTTGAAGATATTACCAGCTCACATCACAAAACTTTTCACCAGCATCTTCTGCAATGCCACTGACAGTCTTGGGAAAACAACCCGTTGGAGAGATACTCCACCTAATGTACTTTAGAATTAAAGCCTCTCCATGATCAAAGTCAACCAAGAATCAACAATTCAAACAACGTGAAAGCCTGCTGTGAGCCCTTCTGCTCCACAGGTTAATATCTGATTATATTAATACAAGCAATAAGGAAGGAAAATACCTCCTCAGCCGTGAAATGGCAACCCAATGTTTTGTGGAATGGAACAAGAATGGAAAATACAGACCAGGAAAAATTGTGATGTGACACTTGTAATTGTCAGGCAGTTTTTCTTTCAAGTGCTGCTCACTAAGGCCCATTCATTCATTCATTCACAGATTCCCTTTTAAATGCTAGCTGGTGGCTGTGAAGCTGAAACAGTCAAGCTAGCATACACAGTTAGAATTTGAAATCAGAAACCTAAGAATTTTAATCAGACCCACTCAGGTCTTAATTATAAAGGACTTTAAAACTGGCATGCTGGTAAAAGACACCGATAAAAAGGTGTAAACACTTCTCTACCTTTCAGAATTGTCATCTGGGCATGTTAGTAAGTTTTTGTTACTTGTTAACTTTGCATGTTTTTGTAAATTGAGCTTTTAAAGATGCAATCACCTCCAAATATTGGAAATATACATTTTTCTATGCATCAGACAAAGTTCTTGAAGCCAGACATTTTGAGGTTGTATTGTTTTAGAGCTAGGTCACACCACCGCACCGCATCCTCTTTAAAAAGTGGATCTGAATATTAACTGTTGAAGTACAGAGGAAAACAGTTCAACAAGAACTTTTGTGGAGCCTCTTGGATTAGTTTCATCATCAGGTTTCTTTCACATGTCCTGTGCTTTACTCATATGTAAACAAAAAAGTGCATCTCCCCAATGCTATTCTCAATGCAAAATACAATTCCTCAATGAAAGAGCCTTCAGAAGAGAATTGCCATACCTTGTGCTACTGTTGACATAACCACTGACGGTGTGGATGACACTACAGCAGTCACAGCAATAGTATTTGCAGTGCAGGAGGGAGTGGAGCAGCTGCTGCTGCTGCCCACAGAGGACTGGGAAGCAGTGATAACCACAGGCTGCTTTTGAGTAGTTGAGGCAATGACTGATGTTGGGACAAGTTTTGTAACTGCTGCATAGTTGTGGGACTTGGAAAGGATGTTGGGTACAAAAGTTGAGCTTGGAGAGGTGGTTACTATTATGACCTAAAAAAAGAAAAAAAGAACAAGAAGAAATTCATTTGTTCCTTGCATCTATATTTCAGTAACATGTCTGTCTATTTAGTTTTAGGGATACATCTTTATTAAGAGCTTTTAAGACTGTCAATCATGTTTGCTCACAAGAAAAAGTTACAACTACTTTGAAGAAATGGTGACAAAAATTTCCTTAAAATTAGGATTTTTAAGGAAAACAATTAATATCGAATAAAGTAAAATTATCTCCTGTCTGAAGGCAAACAGACAGGAATGAATTTGAATTCATTAAACTGGGCAGGAAACTTGAAACCCATTTTAAGAGAAACTGAATGGATTTCCAGCAAGTTTTAAGTGTCACTCTTCCAAACCTTACAAAAATTTCAAGAAACATCAATGAGAGAAAATAGATTTTTTTTTTTCTTTAACAATCAACAAGCACTTGTTCAGTCAGTAATGGGAAATGCTTTTGATCTACAAGGCTGTAAATAATATTTCATCAGTGAAAGAAAAATGCTGGAGGTTTAAAAATTTCTGCTTTATTTAGTGCTCTCAATAGCAAGAAATTCTTTCAGATTCGTCTGAAGAGAATAAACACCACCCCAGTGCAAGTTACAACTACAACTCCATGAATCTGATCTGACACAGAAAAACACAGAATTCATGACAGCACTGGAAGAGGTCTGTCTTTGTGCATGTCACCTAGGAAACTAAACACTTATTAAGTATTGAATATGGGGACTGTTTACATTAAAAGATTCCTTTTATTCAACTTATATGTCCCTTCTTGTACTTGCATAATTAAAATAAAAAAGAAGCACAAAAATACATTTTCAATTTGTCATGCAAGAATATTGAGAAATTAATAATGCTGTTGTCCCCACAAAAATTTTGTTTATTAAAACTCTGAAAATTTAAGCTTAATAATAATTCAATGTAACAAAAGCCAGTAGAAAAAGACACAAAAGGAGCAAAGAAAACCTGTGTCAGCTCACACAAAGTCTTACATTGCTAGCCAAGCACGACTGAAACCTTGCCTGATAAAGAAATAATATGATAATGGCACCAGAAATAGACTTAAGCAACAGATCAAGCATCAAGAGATTAGAAGTTCATAATTTGCTTAAAGAAAAATAAGAAAAGAAAAGAAAAAATAAATAAAAGGGAAATAGCCACAGGGATGGAATAAAAGCAGCAAATTTCACCAACATGGCTGGTTCGGCCTCTCCTTTTGTCCCAGCTCTTAGTTTGATGGTCTCTGCTGCTCAGATAAACCTTTAATATCTTGATCTGAAGAAAATCAAAACCTTCCTAGCCTACAAGCTATAGCAGGTTGACCACAACTAACCCATGTCTGAAGGACAAGGTTTCCACATTCTGCTGCTTTTCTACTTGATTGCATTCTCCAGAGAAAACATTTTCTCTGCATCAGTCTTATTTTTGCATTCTGCCTAATTTTGATTTAATCAAAACACCTTTCTCAAATTGTTCTTAGGCTACAAACATGCAGATGAGCTGAACATGACACAGCATGTTCTAGTGTGAGAATTGGAAGTGAAAGGATTCTATGATATGCCTCTGGAGTTTTATCCTGTTTCTTAAACTGTCAGTTTACACTAGGAATACTTCCAACTGTCTGAAGTTGAGGGTCAGCTCCATTCCACCCAGAGAAACTAGTTAGGAACACAGTCAAAGGACAACTTGCAGTTTAAAAAAGCAGATTATAGGTTAGAGTGAATACGAACTATACTACAGCAGGGCAAGTTCAGCATCAAAACTACTACAAATATGCAGAATGAAACTGGGCATAACCACAACTCCTGCAGACAACTGCACTTCCTTAAGTCCATGATTATCACTTAAAAATACTTTATTTAATCAAGGAAGGAATAAAGTGTGTAAAGCACTACAGTTCAACAGTGACTGCTATACTGTGACTAAGCAGGTTTGTGTCTATTCTATCTCATCTTTCAAAATTAACAGACCAGAGCAAATTTCAGTATCTTCTGTGTTGGGGTGTTTGCTGTCTGTCTTGAGGGCTTAGTGAAGGTTATTTTCACATGCATGAAGTATATAAAGAAAACATAAAATTCAGGTAAAAATTTAAGTACGAAAGTTCAAATCACAACCACTGTATTTCTGAAATACTATTCTGTCATATATGTTGAAATGATCCAAATGATCTCATCATGAGTACCAAAACTGCATCCCATGTTTTACAGCAGAGAAACTGGCTGACTTTAAACATACACACACATAAATCAAGGTGGTAATTTTGTTATTGATGACAGTAAAATCTAATTCCCAACATGTATTGAATTTAGTCCTGTCAGCTCTATCTTGAGAGATGTCAAAACTTAGTCTCTGAAAAAATAAGGCTATTATAACTGCCAGAAACTTCACTAGCTAGATTCCTTCCATGTCCTACAAAGCTGACTTTATTACAAGAGAATCTAGAAACGGGAGCAGTGACATTATTAGTTGTTATGAGAGATCATCCTCCAATCTACTAAAATGTCAAAACAATTCAAAGAGATGGCATACAGAAACAGAATTTCATTCATATCCAACAACTGACACTCAAATTGGAAATGTCCTGTTGGATATGAATGAACAAGACTGACTTTTAATTTAAAACTACTAAAGTGGATTTCTCCCACCAAAATCATCCAGTTATATATTTTGGCATATCTAAATCCAACAAAAGAGGACACTGTGACAAGTTCAGATACAAATGCTACTCTGGCTGCCTAACAAAACAAGCACCAATTTTCCTGTCACTGCAGATTAGTAAGACAGCCAAATAATAGAATGCAAAGTGAACTCTAAAATTCCCATGTCAGAACAAGTGGAGAGGCATAACTGCAGGAAAGGTCCTATCAACAGTCCACTCTTCTCCAGACTTGGTACACTCCATCTTTAACTTCCATGATATATAACACCCATACTTAATACAACCCTACAGATGTTTAAGGCAAAAAAATTATTCCTGCACTAATTATAACCCTAATGTGCATCAGGATGGATAGGTTAAGCCCTGTAGTAGCTGTGGACTTGCTGCACTGAATTTAATTTGATGGTTTATGCTCACACATGGATTTCTCTAATACACTCATGTATTCAGAGATGAAATTTGATTAAGGACTCTGTTAAAGAACAGTGAATCAAAATGAAAGCATCTTCCCTGGAGTGGGAAGAGGTCAGAAAGCCAGTATCTTTATTGCACATGACTTCAGTTAATTTAGTTGGTTTTAAAATTTCCAGAAATCAAGACACAGGAACTCTGCTGATCTGAAAAGTCATAAAGCAATTAAGAAGACCCATAGGACAAATACCATGCAAAGGTTTGAGCTCAATAGTCAAACCCTCACCGTTGGAAAAAAATGCTTGTTAGTGGCCAGCCTAGCATAAATCTGTTGGTATCAAGACGAAATTAATCCCACAGAGACCCTATGTCTCCCTGAAGTCTGCTGTACTAAATAACTGTACCAAGAATGAACTTGGTCTGAACCATTCACGTTTTTTAAATCTTAAAAACAGAACAATAGACACAACTGAAATGCCTCCTAAAGAATAGTAATATAGTCATGCCATAGATTAGGCACTTAAAAATCTAAGTCCAGTACAAAATTTAAACAAGGAAAACCTTTTCTGCACTTTGCATTGTGGTGAAAGCTAGGCACACTCAGCTGAAATAATGCAACTGATTTTGACCACTGTAACACTGTTAATGTAGAATAAGAAATGGCACACTTGTACTGAAAGGAAAATAAAGCCCCTGGACTTTGACCAGCTCCAAGAATAAGCATTATAGATCCCAAAAAACTAGTCTCTAGATAAAAGGCTTGGCAAGGGAAAGCCCATGCCACCTCTCCTGGAATTGTACTACTGCAAAGAGTAAATTATAAATAAGGAAAATAGAAATAAGAAAGATTACCTTTGACCAACAGTTGTTACCATCTGAAGGCTGTTCAGTGGCCTATGTGATCCAGTTCTCAGTGGACTAGTGTCCATATCACAAAACCCAACACCACAAATGGTACTAACTGGTAACCTTGTTGGCAGTCTCACCAGACAGGCCAAGAATTGAATGAGCATGGAGACTGAATCCCCTCTCATCCCTAGAAGTGGTCCCTTCAGGTCAGGGTTGAGGCACATTGGTGGGGCAGTCTGGGGGAAGCTTGCACTCCCGCTGCCTGTGCTGTACCTGTTCTGTGGATAAAAAGAGGGCTTCAGTCTCCACGGCTGTCAATCCAGGTCCTTTCACACACAGGTGAACTAAATTCACACAAGAGTTCGGTTTTCCCTTTGCTCGTTTTAAAGAGGGATTACCTTATCCCAAGCGCAATCCTATAAAAACAGCTAGTCAGATCACAGAAAGGAAGAGTCAAACATCACGTCTTATTCATTGATAAAACCAGAATAAAGTAACATTTGGCAGCTTCCCCCACATACCTTCTGTGTTGTGGTGTTTGTTGTCTGTGTTGAGGGCTTAGTGAAGGTGATTTTCACAGGCGACATGTGCGGTGGTAAGGAGTTGGCAATGCTCTGCATTATATTACTCATTTTGGGGCTCCCACTTACAGGCACTGTGATAGTTTTAGTGACAGGAGTCACTGCCTTCGGGACTTCTTTCAGGAGAACAGGGGAAGAACTAGAAGAATTTGTTCGCCGTCTTTTGCGGGGCTTTTCATCGTCATCTGAGCAGCTGACACCTGGAAAAGAAATGCTTTCTCTAAATTATGTTTCCCCTGTCTGCAGATCTCAGTGGTTTCTGAAACACTACATCCTCTTTGAGTCTTACGCCCTCTTTCAAGTAAGATAAAAAGAAATAAAGGATAAATTACATCTTATAGTCACAACCAAGCTGTATCACACCTCAGATGCTCTTAGTCCTTGATATGGGCCACACTCAGTGCCATGAACCAGGGACAAATCACCCAAAACCACAAGCTACTCAGTTACTGGGTTACTCCATTCAGTTTGAGAGATTAAAAGAACCTGAGAGCCAGTACAGGGTTTTCATTCTGTCTACAGAAGTTTGACTAGTGAAGCACACAAGGGGATTGGGATCATGCCACACACATTGTAGTTTAAACTTTTACACTACTTCGGGGTTTTTTTGGTGGTGGTTTTGTTTACAGCAATTGGACTATCGAAGTTTATTCCCCTATAGTTTCCTCAGACTTAGCCTTTGCACCTACTTTCATGTCATGTTTACCCTTACAGTACCCTTCTGCCTTTCACCTTAATACAGCATCTTGAGATAAAATATATATAATAAAAAAAAAAAATTATAACTGTGAAGGTCAATCCTCACTTCATCAGCTTCTTCCTCACAATCATATATTGCACACATAGAAAAAAAAAAGTGCTGCAATATTCAGCTCAGGAAAGGATAACAGCATGATTAATGGATTGTAAATCCAAATGGAACTTGCCAAAGCAGGTAACAGATTCATAAATTACGGAAAGGCACAGGTTAATAACTTTGCAAACCTCTCACAGCTACTCGGTAGCATTGAAGGCAGGAAGGCCCTGCAGAAGGATCTGAACAAGCTGGATCCATGGGCTGAGGTTCAACAAGGCCAAGTGCCAGGTCCTGCCCTTGGATCACAACCATCTCATGCAGAGCCACAGGCTGGGGGCAGAGTGGCTTAAGGGTGGCCAGGCAGGAAGGGATGTGGGGATGCTGGCCAATAGCTGTCGGGATATGAGCCAGGTGTGCCAAGGTGGGCAAGGACAGCAGCACCTGGCCTGTATCAGCACTGGTGTGGCAGCAGGACCAGGGCAGTGACCATTCCCTGTGCTGGGAACTGCTGAGGTACCTCCAGTCCTGGGGTCACTTCTGGGCACCTCATGACAAGAGACACTGAAGTGCTGGAGCATTTTCAGAGAAGGGAACAGAGCTGTGGAAGGGTCTGGAGCAGCAGGAGCAGCTGAGGAAGCTGGGGGGAAGCTGGGAGAAAATAGGGTTATGGGGGGACATTCTTGCTCTCAACAACTCCCTTACAGGAGGGTGTAGGCAGATGGGGATTGGGCTCTCCTCCCAGGTAACAAGTGAGAGGACAAGAGGAAATAGCATCAAACTGTGCCAGGGAGGTTCAGACTAGGCATTAGGAAAGAAAACCTCACTGGAAGAGTAGTCAGGCATTGGAATAAGTTGCCTAAGGAGACAACAGTCTGGAAGTGTTCAGGAGGAATCTGGATGAGACACTTGGGGATGTAGTTTAGAGGTGACTATGATGGTGCTGCATTGATGGTTGAACTAGATGATCTTGAAGGTCTCTTCCAACCTTGACAAATCTGCAGTCCTGTTATTTATGTTACTATGCTAACCTGTGTCAAACCATTTAAAAAGAAAAACAATCAGACAGAAGCTGAACAGATACCATCCTGCCTATGCAAAAGATGATTGAAAATCTTGTTCCATGTGGCTGGAGCTTAAAGACAAAGAACACCATCACAGCAAAAAGCAGTCTTGCTGGTAATCAAAGCAAACTTGGTTGGTAGTCAATCTCTAATTAGGGCCAAGATCTAATTATTGCCAATGTCTAATTAAAATTAATATTCTGACATTCAAAAAGTGAAGATGCAAGAACTAACACGGACAAGAAACTGCCCAGCACCACAACAGGCAATTGCAGAAAAATGGTATTCTCTCTCAGCAGGAGTAGCAGCTCATTTGCAGGTATGCGTTGAAAGGCTGACAACTGTATCTACACAGATAGGAAACTGAACTAGGGAAAAGAAGCAAACTTCAAAAATGTAGCTTTAGTTGGCTGTAGCAGTACAAGTGAAGCATGGATCTATAAAACCAGATTTCAAATCAATATATTCTATCCAATTCTCTATCAATCAAAATATTCTAATCAATAATTTACTCTATGCCCCTGAATAAGCCTAGTTGTGACATCCCTCTATAAAGCAGAGGTTTGATTACATAACTTTAAGGTTTATTATGTACAGGCTTCTAAGTATTACTGTGAGTGCACCACAGAAACTTGTAACTATGAGCGCACTAATCATATTGAATGTGTGCAGCCATTTAAAAACCTCAGAATCCATTTGAATCTAAAATCCACATGCAGCTAGCATGTTAGGACACAGTTGTTATTTTGGTGGGGCACCAAGAAATAGAGAAAACTTTGTTTATGGTCCTCATCCACAAAAACCCCATCAACCAATCCATCAAGACATAAGAAAGTAACATTAAACTAACAGAACATTATTTTATGTTAAGTACAGCTCGTTTCACCTCCTGCTTTCACTGCTGGGGTTTTGCAAGAACATTATTCTTATCGTTTCATGTTAGAAATTGCTGTACAAAGTTTTCCACAGACATTTACTTAAAAGGTAATACAGCTTTGACTGTAACTCACACTTGATAAGTAAGGAAGCAGAGTCATGGAAAGGTTAACGGCTCAATCAGACTGTGACTTGGAAGAGGTTACACCACAGACCAGTGGCAAAGTCCTGACTGTAACTCAGATCTCCCAAATCTGCTCCTAAGCAAGTTGTTAAAATCAATGTGACTGATGTAACACACTCTGAAAGACACACAATTCCTTAAAAAAAAAATCAATAGAAACAATAACAACAAAACTAAGCACATGAAGTAGGGAAAAAAAATTAAATGTAGGGATAGATAATGAAGATTATCATCCCTGTATCGCATGTCTAGACTTATTTGATACTCATTATCATGCAGTAATTCAATAAAGTCTACATTAAAATTTTAAGATGTTAAGAATGTTTTCTCCTGAATCTTCAAACTAAACCCAAGTGATTAGTGCACAGATTAGAAAAATGAAAAACCTCAGTGTAATGGGTTTCATGGGTTGACAGGCATTAACAATGGTTTTTTGCAAGTAACATTATATTTATGTACTAAGTGGCACTTCTGATTAGCTAGAAGCTTACACAGATGTATACATATAGCATAAAGATAATTTTTAATAATTAAATAATTAAGTAATTTTTAAAATATGAAAGGTACACAGTGCAAGCATAAAAAGAGCATTTATCTACTTCTAAACAGCATTTATCTACTATTAATATTTACTTGTTGTTTTGATAGAATCAAATAAGAACTGAAGGAAACATTTTAACAGTAAAATAGAACTACCCATGATGAGGGCATATACATGAGAACATAATCTGCTTTTAGAACTAGCTGACTTACTAGTCAAACAAAGATGGGGACACATACACCCTCTGAAGAAAAAAGACTGTTTCTAGATTCTATGTCCTGGATTTCCAGATTTAATTACATGAAGATGGGTCTCTGGTAGGAATTTGTATGAAGTTTTTGCAGCTACCAAGGAACACAAGCTTCACTAAGACTGACTTCCAGGTAAATCACAAAATGGCCAGACATAGTATGTAAGCATAAACCCCTGACAAACTGTATCCAAAAACAAAAAAGTTATGTGTCACCTGTGAAAGTGGAAAAGAGGAACCTTTTTTAATTCAACTAAGTGACTACTATGCATTAGTTCTCAACAAGATGGATCAGAAATTCACTGATGTACAGAAATGTCCATATTTAGTTTTCAACATATTTTTCACTTGTTGTCCTTGTAGCTTTAGTGCTCCTTGCAGCATTTTGCAGCGAGTGGATTTATCCTGAACACTATTTATCTGAAAAAGGGAAGCAATAAATTCATTCTCTAGACTAAACAAAGGCACAAAGGTCTTCAATGACTTGCCCGATGTTGGAGTGTTTAATTCGGTCTGTGCTTCAGAACCATGTTCTCCCTTTCTTTCCCTTTTGTTAATCAATTGCTAGTATCACTTACTTTTGACGTAAACAGTACTTCCACTTGGCAAGACGACTACATTGGAGGCTGGACTGGCAGGTCTGGGGGACTTCACTGTTGCTACACTGCCACTTGGAACAGGGGTAGATGTTGGGGTTGAAGTGGTACTTGTGTAGGAATAGCAAACCACCACTGAAGAGGAGAAAAGACACCTTCCATATAACTGAAGTGCAGAATCCCATTATTCTATCACTATTTTTACAACTGAAATGGAAGCCAAAGACTTATTGGGTTTACTATCTGTGGTTTTGCCTTTGCATTCCTGTTACTGTGGAATACTCCCCAGTTCGAGCTAAGCATGGCCATGAGATTAATGGTCTTCAAAGACAACACAAAAATCTAAACTCCTGTCCTCCCATCCCCAAAAATCTGGGCTGCCAATGTGAATTTTTTTTTGTATTGATCTTTGTTTTACTTTATAATTTGTTATTTTTAATTTTAGCATTAATTCAATATGTTGATCTTTTTGCTTTTCTGTAAGTGATCACATCCAGACTAGTAACTGATAGAAAAGTGTTACTGCCTCAACAGTACATCAGTTGAAAAACCAAAAATATTCATTCAGTAGTGAAGAACTGATTGTGCTAATCAGCTTTTTTAAACCCCTGCTTTTAAGTAATAACACAATGATACAGTACTTCTCACAAAACCAGGATAAAACAGCCTGTTTCAAGAAGTGTTACACCTTCTCCAGTTGTATGAAGCCTAATTCAAGCCTGCTGAGCCAGGCTAGTTGGAACGTGTACTACCATTATTTAAAAAGCATAGAGAAAGCAGAAAGCAACCTTTTTACTTGTTTTCATAGTACAGTTAATCTGAAGGAAAAACCCAAAGTGGTATTTTCTTGATTTTCACCAAAACCTACTTGCATTCTTAAAATAAAACATTCTGAAACAGCTTTCATCACTTAGAGAACTTTACAAAACCTAGCCATTAGTCCAAGTTTTTCAAGTTTACAGAGCTGAAGCAGTTAATCAATCAATGTCATTTCCTGACAAACTGGGTTCTTTTTATATTTCAGTTGCTAGAGTGTCAATAACACAAGGCAGTCAGATTAATGCTGCAGATACCACAAAGGTATCTTTAAAAAAAAGGGGTATTTTATATTTCTGTGAATAATGTTTGGTAAGAAAGATTTAGATTTTTTTAATAGGTTCATAGAATGGTTTGGGTTGGAAGGAACTTTAAAGCTCACCTGGTTCCAGCCCCCTGCCATCAGCAGGGACACCTTCCACTAGACCAAGTTGCTCCAAGTCCCATCCAGCCTGGCCTCAAAAATATATCTTTAATATTTAACACTTAAAATCTAAGACACCAGTTTCTATTGTGATGTTGTTTTTACATTCCCATAGACTGCAGGAGAATTCCATCTTTCTCTCACCTTCTTTGTTTCCAGTTTCTGCAGGAACTGGAAGAGATGCATTGTGCTGAATGGCTGCGTTGGCAACAGCGTTGGCAGTAACAGTAAAAGCTGTTTGTGGAACCAGTCGTGGCATCAGTGGCACCAGTCGACGACCTTCTATGGACCACTCAGAAGAGCTGTTTGGTCCAGACATACTAAACAGAAATACATGTTCTGTAAGTATTTTTATGAGTTTCCAAATACTCAGTATCCTATTTGAGTACATTTTTTTTTAATAGTGCAAGTCTAAAAGATAGTTTAAGACATACTAGTGCACTAATACTCAACTTTCTTTATTTCATGAAAGCCCTTGTATTTTTGTCACCTGATATAAAAACCCTCCCATTTTAAATTGAAGAGTTGACTCTGCTTTTGTTGTTTTGTTTTATAGAGCTGTTCAAGGTCCAGAGGTGTGTGAAGGCATACTCAAACCCCCCACATTAGGTTAGCTACCATTCAGGTACAGTTGCTGTGCTCTCTACTTCTGGATTATGAAAATACCAAGAAACCAAACAGAAATCATAAAAGACTGTTGAAATGGATTATGTTACAGAGAAAAACTCTCCACTTCTAAGGTAAATTTTGTTTTACCTGAACAGAAGAGTTTCTGATGCTTATTAAAGTAGTCTCAAACCAAGGTGACAGAACATGAGATTATTTAAATGCACCCTAAGCATCTTTCTAAACAGAAAGCTGTCTTCTGCTCTGGTTTGCTCTTAACCTTAGTACTTACACCCACACTAGAATGTTTCATAAAAACACTGTTCTTATCTAGATGCAGAATTATTTTTTACTGTTTTACATGAGTCATCTGTCAAATCAGCAAAACCAAAGTGGCAAATTATTTTTCAATGCTGTAATGTTTTTAGGCAAATCAACCCATTTAATGCATTAATATATTCTAAAAAATAACTTCTCACATGAAATATTTCAAACAAGTTGCAGCAAGAGCTACTACAAAGTAGTTTGTAAAATGCAGAGTATCTGCTCTGTTATTAAATCTTTATACGCTTCAGCATTCCTCATACCTATGCATATTGTATAAAGAGAGCTACATAAGGTAAAGATACATTTTAAAAACAAAAAATGAAGGGTACAAAAGCTAGCTAAGTAGGCTTTCCTAATGAGTTAAGAGAATTATGTAAGTCAAATACTGTATTACCAACCATCACTCATAAGGAATCACCATAGGAAAAATAAAGAAAATCAGCACTTCAAAACTGCACCTTGTCTGGATTACAATATTTCATTGAAGTGCAACACCTCAGGACAAACTATCCATGTTCTGCAAAATGCTAAGACTAGAAGTACTACTTAAAAGGAAAACTTGATTCAGGAAAATAATCCTGATTTGACAATTACATGCTTTTCATTATCCCCCCCATTTATTTAAAGGGGTGCAAGGACGTTGGTGGGTTTTGTTTGGTGAACAGCATACTTCTAAATCTTTAAACTTGAAAATTAAAACTTAAAGTCTTTCTACAGCACTAAACCAGTATGCTGATTTTGACTAGACTTGGATCAAACAATTGCTAACTCCAAGTGTCCTGCTATTCACATTATCTCCTTTCTTTCCTCTTCACAACACCAAAACTACAACAGTCAAACATAAAAAAGTGAACAGCTGTAACACAGAATAAGAAAAAAATATAGACACAATGCAGCTCTGTTTAAAGACAGTCCTTAACAGTAAGACTATTAAGTAATTACCAAAAATACATAACCACTTGGTCTACTACTCCTCCACTTCTCAAAATCATGTGGAACTTGCGAAAGCAAATGCAAGGAGGAACCAGCCCAGCTGATGCCAGCACAGCAGCTGCATTGCTGAGAGTGGTGGACACTGATGTCATCAGCTTGCTGCAGCTTTTTCTACTTTGACCATTTCTTCCCTTCTATGCTGATACACTCTTTTCCACTAATCTGCCACCTCTTTTCCTCTCTTTGTCTTTCCTACATAGTTTTCTCTTTCCTCTTAATACAGCCTTTCCAAACTGATTAAAATAAAACTAAAGGCAAAACAAAGAAACAAAAGCAAACATGTTCATCCTACTTAGGAGCATCTCTATTTTCTCCATTCTCTGTTTATTCTAGTCTATCTTACAGAATGGTCTCCATGCCAAAAAACTGTTTCTGTACAGTGAATAGGATAGCCTTGGATCTAAAATGTAATGGTATGAATAATTGTTTCTAGGTCTGTGTATATCTAATACAATAATTCCTTCATCCATACAATGTTTTAATTACTGGTTCTTTAAACCACCATCAATCCTCAAAATTCTATCATTCAGTTAAGGCATAATGGATTTCCCAAAAGGTACTTTTGGAAATCAGTGACAAAATTACTTGGAACTTACTTGTGTGCAATTGTTGTTAGTCGTTCATCATTTACTGCTCTCCGAACTTCAGCACGATGTCGCTCTGTTGAAATACTATTAAAAAAACAACAAAGCAAAATATTTTAATCAGAGGAAGACATGAACATTCATCTGAAAATTCCAGCTAAAATTAAACTTATGAATAATTTATCTAAGAGAAGAAAAGGAATGGGACTTTACTTTTAAGACATTGTCACTTAACCCTTGCTGTCACAGAGAGAATAAATTATATCACTGCTCAAAAATATCACTGAAGGACGAAAAGAACATTACTGTTCACAAGGTATCCTTGAAAAACAGCTAGAATCCAACTTCCTAAAGAAATCAATACATTTAAAGGATATGGCAGAAAAGTTCACACAGGACACACAGCATTCTTTCTTGAGGTACCTTGGGTTCAATGACCTTGGAGTTCTACCTTGACAAAATCCCAAGCCACTGTACATTCATGACCCCGCTGTAACCCTTTTAATACTCAGTATCCCAAAAAGTACCAATAAACCCGTAAGGCTTCTACTACTGAAGGATGGTTTTTTTCCTCATTAAAAACGCCAAGGAGAACAGGAATGAAACCTCGGCAACATGGAGAACTACTTCTCCAAATTCAGACTTTTGTTGTGATCCCAGTGAAAGAAAAAGCATGTAACACCATAAAAGAAAACAAGTCATAGTTCTTAGTTTCAAAAGATCAAGGTTACCTAAGCACTTTAGAGAGTTCTCCAAGAAGATCCTTCTTCTCTTTTGTAAGGTCTCCCTGTGCACGTAAGGCACTGATGACACCTGCATAGGCCTCCAGTTCTGAAGAATTAGAGTGAATAATATTTCTATTTAATGCTCACAGAAAGAGGAAAAAAAGTTGTTTTCCATATTACTGATGGCATTCTAATAATTTTCAAAATCATTAAAAGTAACATGTCTTTCAATTATTTAGAGCTATTTCAAAAGAGATTGATGAGTTGGAACTCTCTCAGTCAATTACTCTGCAGCATAAAACATTTCTATGAAACAACTGTCTCAGCACAGAGGATTATCTCGTTTACAAACCCAAATGAATGCGTCAAGCTCTCTCTGACCTGACAATTCAGGCAAAAAGCTTGAAGAAACTGTTTGGAAAGTAGTTCAGAACTCCCTTCACACGTATCATTATTATGAGTTCTATGGAAAAGCTTGGCTTGGGAAAGAAATACACTATCAAAAGAGCAACTGTTTTTCTTGGAATGCCTTTCCCTAATCAGCATGGAGAACATCAGCTCTAGTTTGTTTAATATGATCATCATAATCTTTTATGCCTATTTACTTGATATGGTACAACTGCTTGAGTCTGAAAGAAATGCAGCACAATGAATTAAACCTGCTCAACACAAAATAAACAATCCAGCTATTCTTAAACACAGAACTACCACAAAGACTAACTCACAAAAATACAACTCTGATTTACCAGAAATGTGTAATTCCAGGTGACTGAGCTGTCATGCCATCAGCACTTTAAAAAAATCAAAACATAAAAGGCTACTGGTATTTTTGAATGTTGTCCTACTGGACAGGATGAAGATACACCTAATGCAAATAATGAAGCCTGCTAATTTGGCAAAGAATGACTTGCTATTCTCAGCTTCTCACTGCTTGGGGAAACCCAAAACAAAAATTCTCTTGATCCTTACATAGGTGCCTTTCATTTGACACTTCCACTTCAGCAGCTAACCCAAACAACCCCAAGTTACCCAAAACCAAGAATAAAAGGTGTAGGCCAAAACCGAACATTGCTGAAATTTGCTGCAAAAGAAAAGACTGATGATGCTTTTCTGAAAAGCTTTCCATTTAGGATTCCAAAGATCTAATTTACAAATGAAATCAAGGAATTGTTCTGAAAAGAAGTTCTGCTCTCCTGTCCCAATTAAGCAGATAAAACAAAAAGCAGAGTAATTTTGGTTAGCTATGCAGTCCGCATGGAGATGCTGAGTGACCTACAGAAGCATTTACAGCTTCAGTTATAAAACATTCACTAATTAATGCAATGGTTATTACTAATATTAACATTTATTTAGACAATCATGTTACAATACTCATGGTACTATTTTCCTCTGTTAACAACTTAAAGTAATTCTCAGATGCAACCATAATTATTTATCAAGGGCACACTTTTTTTTTCCTTTTGCATTATAAATAAAGAGCCTCTACACTCTAGCTGTAAAAATGCACATTCTGGTCTTTTGGAAGCTAGTAAGGATTACAGAACAGCTGTAACTTCCTCCCCTTTGTGTTTATGCAGCAACACAAAACACATGAAATAGCTAAAATGGGTTTGGCAAGTAAATATTATTGCTAGTGTTAGGTGCCACGATCATCACCTCTTTCAGTAATAAACCACAATCAACACCAGGTCCTGCACACCTCAAGATGTCTTTCAGCCTCACCTACATCCCTGCTTCACTCCTTACAGAGTACTCCCACTACTGCTGCACCATTAGCCAAATTAGATGTTGGTCTGTGAGCTGGAAAAGCAGGACCCTCTAAAGCAGATGGCTATTGCTGCATGTGACTGTCACAGAGCTATTGCTCCCACTGCCTGTGCTCCTTCACCCCCTAGTCCCGTGGTATGCTTCCTCTCAGCTCACAGAGGCAGTGCCTCAGCCTTACCCTGCTGGCAGGGCCCCCTTGTGGGGACACAGCTCATGCCAGCAAAGCAAAAATTATTATTTTTGATTTTTTTTTCCTTCCTGTCAGCATAGGTTATGTCATTGAAGGAGGTACAGCTGCACTTCTCTTTGGCTCAGCTGCACCCGCAAGGTTCTGCCAGAACACCGCTGTTAGCCCGGGTGAAAGGTTTTTTTCCAGGCTTCCAGCCAGCACAGCTACATTAATGAAACTTAGTAGCACATACCTAGTCCAAAGTTTTTGGCACTCTGCACTTTTTCCTAGTTTCTGTGCTTCTTGAGCCTTGCTTAAGGCTTAGGGTTGTCACCTTAACAGACAGTACGGCTTGTTGCAACATTGTGTGCAACACCTGCATAACTGTTCCAACAGCATACAAATCCCATATTCCCAACAAATGAAATAAAAAGGGCAAAGGGAGGGAAAATAAATTCTCAACTCTCAAAAAATTAAGTGGATGGCTCTGCAATGTATGAGAACCTTGGCATAGTTAAGAAATACAGCACACCATCTCTCAGCAGTCAAACAAAATGAGAACAAGAAAAGCTGTCACTTGACAGTCACAGGAAGTTAGAGGGAGCCTCAACTTTCTTCTTGACATCATCTCCCAGATTATGGTCCTCAGAAGAAACTGAAAAATATAAGGCTTTTTTATTTTCCCATCTAGTATCATTTAACTGGCAAAACCCCAAACCCTTCATTACACAAATTCAGCCATAAGAACTCAAAACCAACTATGCCAGATCAGATCAAAGGTCTAACAAAGGATTCTCTCCCCTGCAGTAGCCAAAAGCAGGTAAGTGAGGAAAGAGCAAACGTTTTTATTACTTTCCAAAACACAGAAGCATCTCTCCTCATACACTTAGATCTACAAGGACAGAGCACAAAAACATCTTCCAGTGTCTATCTCTTGGGCAGGGGTCTCAAATACTGAGCTACATTTGAAACAATGAAAAAGACTTCTGTGATTATGGCAGTTGAGTGAGGACATAATTTTCCCACTTCCCTGACAACCTGAGTAACTGCAAATCACAAACAGCATTTTTTTAAATTCTGATTTATGTCTTCACAATAATAACTTCAATACTTGAATCATCCCTACAGTGACAGTTAACCCAGGATTCCACTATTTTTTGGGGGGTACAAAAAGGTGCCTAATACAGAACTGGGGTGGAAAAAAACAACCAAAAACCACAACAAAACAGAAAAAAAAAAAAACCAAAAAAAAACCAAAAAAAAAAAAACCAACCCCCCAAAAAACTACCCCAAAGGTTTTCGTTTCACAGAAAAGTGTGCTGCATGTTAATAGTGACAGAAAAACCCAGCCCTGCAATACAGCAACTAGGACATCCAAGAGAGATTTGACCAAATCAAAACAATTCTTCTCTACTCATTTTGCTAGGGCTGAGAGTGTCGGCCAAACATAACTTTAAGCCAGGGCTGTCAAACCAATGACACACGGAAAACACAGGAAATTACTTGCAAGTTGCCTGCAGACATATTAAAATATTTCATGCAAGCAGCATGAAGGCAAATCTTCAAAGGGCAAAATGCAGACCCACAAATTGTATCATCTTACTGTACCCAGTTTGCGAAGGATCCTCTTGCACTCATCCCTACTGAGGTCCAGAAGAGTAGGCCACACCACAGGCATCCTTCCCTTGTGTCTGTGCTCCCACAGAGCTCAGCCTCGCTGGAAAAGGAATATAAATGCTCAAGCCCACAATTTATTGATTTCCCAAGCCGATTAATGTAAACTCCTCAGTCTGCTCACAACTCCACATTCGCTCCCATCCCCGCCCCAATCTCTGTAGTGGCATGAAGGAATTCGGCAGTTTCACAAGGGCATAGACTTCCTATGCTCTCTAGCTCAAATGCATCACCCAAACCTTTTTACAGCGTCCTAGCTCCTTCTGAAGCCCATTTTTTTCAGGCTGAAACGCTCTCCGAAATGATGTTTAAGTCTCCTCCCTCTCTTTATGCAGAGTACCTATTAAAAGAATTCTTCCAGCGAACCGCGCGCTCCCCTTCCCCCCGGAGAACGCGTTTTGCGCCAGCCTATTATATTATATGACAGGATGGCAAAAACATCGTGTGTGAAAATTTGCTCTCCACATACCAACACCTGCCCCCTCCCCCAAGAAATAAGCCAAACACGGGAACACCTCAATCCCGACGCAGCGAGATTCCGTGGGTGGCGGGGAGAGAAGGCGCATCTTCCCGATGCGACGAGGATAATAAAGGAAAAAGAGCAGCCGGAGGCGAGTTGGGCAAGCGGGACTTGGGCCGGGCAAGGAACGGCACGACAGTGGGGGTGGGGAGGGGTGGGCACCGGGAACAAAAGCCCTGACGCCGTCGCAGCTTCCAGCGTGGGGCTGGAAGGGGGAAGGGTCTCCTACAAGGACGCCCGAAGACAGCCGCCACCCGGGCACTCCCCGCCCGCCCTTCCCGGGCCCTGGGCGCGGGGCACTGTCCGGAGCCAGCGGCGCTGGGTCCCCGCCGGGGTCGGGGAAAGAGAGAGAGGGAGCGGGCGGCGGCTAGCGCTGCTTCCCCGCATCGGCCGGAGCGGCAGCGCCGGCGGGCGGGGGCCGGGGCGCTGCCCCGGGCCCCTAAGGGGGCGGCGGGTCCCCGCCGTCCCTGAAACGGAGCTGCCCCTCTCCCTGAGGCGGACCGCCCCGGGTAGGGCGGGGAGCAGGACCCACCTGCCCGGCCGTGCCCAGTACATCGAAGGCTCCGCGGCAGCCGCACCCCTCCCCCCACCGTTCGCCAGTGCCGGGCTCGGGTTTGTTTAGTGGCGGCGGCGGCGACGGCGTTTACTCGGGCCAAGATGGCGGACGAGGGCGCTGCGCAAGCGCAGACGCAGCGAGGTACGCTAGGAATTGTAGTCTCCGCCGCCCCTCTGCCGTAAGGAGCTGGAGGAAACGCGTGCCAAGATGGCCGCTCGAATGAACACTACGCATGCGCGCTGGCAAGGAGCATGCTGGGAACGATAGTTCTCGGTGTTTCTTGACGCGTGGGAAGCGGCGCCCACCGTCCCGCCGTGGCTCGGCGGGCGGGTACGGGCAACCGGAGGGGACAAAATACATTGCGCGTTCTCTACCCGGGCTGGGGCGCGCTAGCGCGGTTGGAACGCAACCGCTTAGCCCAGAACTCTAGGAAATAACAGCTGGCCATCACTCCTGGAACGAAACATGACAGGGGAGAACATCACCCCCACGCCATTTGGCTACCTGCAGTTTTCTACCTTAAAACAGACGCAGGTGGCGCGCGGGGTGCAGCGAGCCGCCTGTGGGGAACAATAAGGGAACAAATTGCGCACCTAGAGCCCCCTCCCTCACAGCGCTCCGCCGTGTCTGCTCCCCGACACCGCGAGAGCATTGTCACAGCCCCGGGCCTGGCCGCTCTTCTGGATTTTACAGCGATTATAATTTGTTTTCCTGAAGATTTCCATGAAAAGCAGTACATTTTATCTGTTTGAAAATCCTCGAATCAAATTAGAAAGAGAAAATAAAATGTCTCGGGTGCAGCTGAAAAGTACGCATCCTGTTGTGGCTGCACGTTGCAGCGAGAAAGTATAAAATAATCTGTGGAAAATGCATATTTTATTATTGGCTTTTCGCAAATATTAAAATGAATATTATATGTGTTAAGGTAGAAAGTTATGCTGTATTAATTTTCTTAAGTAGTGTGTTAATTATAGTTTTAGGTTATTACATAATGTTAAAATAGAAACTATGCTATGTAAGATACTTTTTTTTAAAAAATAAAGGACTCGCACTGAGATAGCAGCCACAAGACGCCTAAATCTTTCAGAGAAAGAGAATTTATTGCTCCATTATCAGGAGAAACTAACTTCTTCCTGCCATGAAGGCACCGTTAGGATTCAGAGGAAGAAGTTGACACTGACCAGACAGAATCCTGTGTTTAAATGGAATTTATGCATAATGTATGAGATGTATGAATATATAACAGGCTATCGTTTTTAAGGGTTAATCCTCTGTTAACGTGTGTCCTTTTGCGGGCTTATTTTACCCAGAAAAAGGTACCCGGACCATCCGTAACTCTTTGTTCTTATTGTCTCATATTGTCCTAATACAAATTGTCCAAATTTTTATTACTATAATTATATTACTATTTTTATAACCATTTTATTACTATTAAACTTTTAAAATCTTAAAAACAAGTGATTGGCATTTTTTCACACTTGCTGTTTCCTATTATTCTTCACAGCAATATAAATCTCAAGTACTTGAAAACAATTATGCTGAACAGTACAAGACAGCTAGAAATTTTCTTTTTCTCCTTTTAATGCCTTCCTAAACAAGAATGAGCTGAAGGCAAGTAGCATCATATTGCATAATATTGCCTAATAAATGTCCTAAGATTTGTACAAATGGGAAGATGCAGGTTTGTGCCAGAAGTTGGAGTTTTCCTTTCCATGTCAGAGACTCCACTGGAAAGGAAATCACAAATTCCAAACCTGGAAATCACAGAATCCTAGCATGGTTTGGGCTGGAAAGGACCTTAAAGCTCATCCAGTTCCAAACTCCTACCATGAGCAGCAACACTTTCTACTAGACCAGGTGGCTCAAGATGTGTCTTTTAGTCAGACTACTCTGGTCAACAGGAAAACGCAAGGACAGCCTCACCACTTACCAGAATATAAACTATCTGAGATTTATTCAGAATTTGTAATTATGATGCTCTAGCAGGGTATGAATTTTATTGCACCCAAGATGTTTAACAGCCAGCCCTGATATTTGTAGAATAAATTATTCCATGAGCAGAAATGCCAAACCTGCCTTCTTAAAGAAAACTTATCTACTAAGATCTAGGTTTTAGCTGGATGTTATGTTTCAGTTTGTGTGCTTATGAAAGTGCTTTGTTCTCAGAGTGGAATTGCTGCTAATCATGCAGCTCATAAGGATCAGAAATACCTTTTTCAGACTTGCTTAAATGTAATTAGATTTATTTTGTATTTGTTTTCGATCTTTAATTTTTTTTTCCAACATGGATGAAAGTAGCCAAGAGAATCAAAAGTTATTGTGGGTAAGGTGGACAGACACATATGTTTGTATGGATGTATTCAAGAAAATGGGATTTGCTTCATTTCCTTTGGTACACAGAGCAGAAAAGCAATATAAAAAATGAGTCAGTTATGTATGTATGAAATGTCTGAAGCTGTGGTTGCTGCATTTCTACAGATGTCCTAAGATGACTTTCAAGAATATTTATTAAGGATGAAGACGCAGACTTGGAGATGTATGAGCGGTTCAGAAAGTCCAAAAGCCAAATTTTCCTTGTAGTTAAAGCCATGATGTTACCATTTACTTCAGACTAGCCTACAATCAATTCTTCATTACCCAGAAAAATGGGAGGACTGAGATAGCATGGACAAAGTAAAAAAATGCCCAAAGCACATAAATAATGAGTCCTGAAAAGCATAAAAAGGCCAGAGCTCTGCAGCTATTAATCAGCTTGGATCAATAACCAAGATTGTCCAAGCAGATGCACCAGAACTACCCCCAAACCCAGCAAGGTCTGGTCAGGAGGGCCTTCTCTAGTCAAATCCCACATCACATAACCAGTCCAAGAACATCACAGATCTTTCTGTAAAACTGTGCCAGGGTTGTCTGAGTTCAGAATGACTGCACGCAGGCAGCTCAGATCTCCTAGCCTAATTCAAGAGACTGAGACTTGACAGCATTTCCTTATGTCTGATGACCAAAATACCAAGTGTTCCAGTTATAGACTAAAAAAATGAGAAGAAAAAAAGACAACGTGGTTTAGGCTTACTTCATTAATACAGAAACATGGCTAAATGTCCCACATTTGGTCAGTAAACTCATATAAAATAAATAAAGTCATTGTAGGTAAAGGAAAAAAAAATCAGTGTGAAAATGCCAGCATTTTTTCTAGCCTTTGATGCCTCACAGATACTAATATTTTTTTCATTTCTCATTACCTACATCCTTGCTGTCTGAGTCATCATTTAAGGAAGCCCAAAATTACAGAGCACTTTCTGAGTGTCCAGAAAGTAAAACAAGATACAGAATTGTTGTCAGCAGCATTTTGTCATCTTTCCTAAGGAAGCAAAGCTCAACAATGTAAAAAAGTCACAAGGTGAAATTAATTTGTCAGTCAAAGGGAGCTAAGAACTCAAATGATCAAATCCGATGGTGACCTGATAAGCAACACTCTTCAAGTTGTTGTGATCTCTCTTGTGCCTTCATTTCCCACTTTTATAATGCATTTTAAAAACTAAAAACAGACAGTGATATATAACAACTAGGCATTATGTGTAGGGTTGTGAGGCCCTGGCACAGGTTGCCCATAGCAGCTGTGGCTGCCCCATCCCTAGCAGTGTTCAAGGCCAGGCTGGACGGGGCTTGTAGCAACCTGGTCTAGTGGAAGGTGTCCCTGCCCACGGTAAGGAGCTGTACCCAGGACATCTTTTAGGTCCCTTCCAACCAAAACCACTCCAGGATTTCATGATTAATTTTATAAAAGCATGCTGCTGAGTATTCTTTTTAAGAATTTGCTCAATTGTATATATTCAAACAAAATCTGTTCCTCCTTTCAGAAAGGGAAAGAAAAATGCCATCAATCTCTACTACTTTTTGTTGTTTTCTACAACCCAACAATTTCAGATTCCCCATTGGCTTAAGTAATATGAATCTCATAAATAACAGACACTGGTCTAATTAATCACACTTTCTGTTTTTGGGTGCTAACAGAATATTCTGCCTCACCACACTTATTTTTGTCCTCAAAGAAAATGGAAGAGAGAAGGAAGTAAGCTTGGAAGCCTCAGCTGTGAGATAGCCCAAGGAAGAGCTATGATTTTCCCAGAGAGGTGATTTGTATGCAGCTCAGGTCACCAGGACAAAGCTGTGCTTCTTAGCTCTTTAGGAGCTCATAGGAAATGAGTGGAGCAGCCTTGCTGTAGTTCTCACTGGGTTATTAACTGCATCTCCCCTTGCACCACTACAACCCGATTGATACAGGCTCTGCAATAATCCATTTTCTTTGGTAGAAGAGAGGTGCTTCAGCTTGATACTATATAGGAACCAGGTACAGCTACTGAAGCTGCTGCTTTTATGAGGTAAACAGGGAATTTCCAGCTTTCAAGAGACGTACACTAGTAATTTTAAATGTATCATTGGAAAATCAAGGGGAAAAATGTATTTGTTTCAGTCTGCCAGCAATTGAGAAAGAAGTAGAAAAAATCCACTACGCTTTTGATACTAAGATGAATGTAACATGGTAGATAATTTCAAATTTTAGGGAATTTAAGGATAGTTTAAAGTATCTTCCATGTCTTGCATAAGATTCTAATATAAGTTAAATTATTTCTTGGCCTTTTTTTGTTTCCCAGTGGCTTAATCAGTGGAGTTTCCACTTATTCTAATGGGTTATTCAGTGACTCGATAAATTTTCCTGACATGAGCATCTCTATTTTAATGTCATTCTTCTTCTCTCAGACCACTCCTAATCTCTCTTCCTCCTCAAACACTTTCCCATCACATTTTTCCTCCTGACTAAGAGAAAAGCAGAAGCCTCAACAATGCCTAGGTGCTGGCAGGTTGCAGAGGAGCTTTTTATACACAGCCTCGTCAGATAGATTGTCAGGTAGGACTGTTTGTAAATTCACAAAGATATTTCAGCTACTTTTACTAAAGACAGCTTTGTGTTGCCAATCAATAGATATTTCCCCCCCTATTGTAAGTAATACATATTCTATTCATCAAATGCTTTTGTTTTACAAATCCTAACAGCTTCTGAGCTGAAAGTATCTTAATTCAGCAAGCATTAAAATGCATCAAAATGCCACTGTGTATCAAGTTAAGCATCTATTTAAACACTTTGCTACACTGAGGCAAAAACTCAACAACATAACCTCAGTTAACGAAGAAAATCACTTGTGATATTTTGCGACAAATCAAAGAAGGAATTAAACCTGGTACCCTTTGCAATCTTGGGAGGCAGATGAAAACCTCCGTCCTCTTTTTGGCTTGCTGTATTGGCAAAGAACATATAAACTTCCTTGCTCAGAACAGGAAGCTAAGGAATGAAGCAAAGTATTGAAGTTATTGCTCCACTGAGCCACTTGAGTCCTTATCTACGGCCATATACGTTTGTATATGTGTTATACAAATACTGGGTATCTCTAACAAGCTTCTGCCATTCAAGAACATATATCTCAGATCACCAATTAGCAGAATTCAGTCACACTGGGAGCAAATTTGCACTGTATTTTAGGGAAGCTTGCATTTTCTCTTTCAAGTTGCCCTTTTAACTCATCAACAGACCATCTATTGCTTTAAAGCTCAAATCAACTCACCAACAAATTACTTGCTCATGATTTTGACCAATTATTTTTACAAGGCTGAGTATGCTATAAATACTGAGGAAGGAAGTGAATATTAAAGATTATATAATCCTAATATAAGTATTAGAAATTATATTGATCCTGGAACACCTTGCAAATGAAAGTTTAAACTTACAGTATTGTCGCAGGGTGACAACAGCAACAGAAAACAAGATGGTGCTGCATTTACAAACCAGAAACTAGCATTATTATCACTGTGCAGTTTTCAGTGAAACTTTGGGCAAAGCCCATGCACTTTAAGAGGTTGATGTGAGCACTGGGGATTAGCAAGGCTTGTACAGAAAAATAAAGACAACCCTGCGCAGGGGCAAGCAAATAGGGAAAAGAGGAGTCAGACTCTCACTCCTAGCTCCTTAATTTTGGTGTAACCATACACCTGCAGCACAGCACGGGGTGGGGAGTCTGTGATCCTGCGCTGGCTGGAACTTCAGAAGCTGCAGCAGCTCAGGTGGAAGCCTCAATTAAGAGCAGCTGCTTGGAATTTAGATGGCCTCTTCCCTCTGCAGCAGGGAAGTAGCTGTAGGCCAGAATACACAGCTGAGTAAAGAGAGTAAGAAGTAGAACAAGCAAGAATACAGACAGCCTGTGCACTAAACCATGTTTTTTGGGCAGATCTTCACATCAAAGTCCAGTTCTGCAAAGACAATGGCTGTCTGGGTTTCCTCATATTGAAGATCTGATAGAACACCTATGAAAATCACCATTCTTTGAATCAGAACCATAAAAAGAAAAAATATCCCAGTGAAATAGGGAAAATGCAATGGAAATTTGGTCTGACAACCTTTTAATATCATCACAGAGATTGTTAACTTTAATTTGCAAAAAGCTAACCTCAAGGGAGGAGCTGGGATGCTGCATTACTGTAACTGAGGGTGGGAGTTAAGTTGCATGTTTGTCACTAGTACTGCTTACTCAGCCTGGATTCACCTGTCCCTAGAGGTCAGACACATACTGCTTGCAAGACTTGCTTATTCCCTACCTTTGCCTCCCAGTTCTTCAGAATAGCAGGAATAAAAAGAGGATGTATCATCTTTGGAAGGAGGGTCAGGTCTCTCAGGAAGTATTTAAGGGGGTTGCTACGGCATGTAGGAAAAAAAAAATTAGGGAGGCCAAAGCTCAGTTTGAACTTAATTTGACAACTTTTGTAAAGAATAATGAAAAATGTTTTTACAAATATATTAATGGCAAAAGGGTAAGACCAACCTCTGTTCTCTACTGGATGCAGGAGGAAACTCGGTAACTGCAGATGAGGAGAAGGAAGAAGTGCTTAACATCTTCTTTACCTCAGTCTTTAGTGGGAAGACAGCTTGTCCTCAGGACAGCTGTCCTCCTGGGCTGGCAGATGGTGTCAGGGAGCAGAATGGTCCCCCTGTTATCCAGAAGGAGGCAATCAGACAGCTGAGCCACTTGGATGTTCATAAATCCATGGGCCCAGATGTGATCCCTCCCAGGGTGATGAGGGAGCTGGCAGATGAGCCTGCAAAGCCGCTCTCCATCATTTACCAACAGTCCTGGCTCACTGGTGAGGTTCCAGATGACTGGAAGCTGGCCAATGTGACACCCATCCACAGAAGAGCTGGAAGGAGGATCCTGGAGTGTTTAGCCTGGAGAAAAGGAGACTCAGAGGTGACCTTATTGCTTTCTACATTTTCCTGAAAGGTGGTTGCAGTCAGGTGGGGGTTGGTCTCTCTCTCCAAGCAACAACTGACAGAACGAGAGGACACAGTCTTAAACTGCGCCAAGGGAAATATAGGTAGGATATTAGGAAAAAGTTTTTTACAGAGTGATAAAGTACTGGAATGGTCTGCCCAGGGAGGTGGAGTTACCACCCCTGGATGTGTTTAAAAAAGACTGGATGTGGCACTTGATGCCATGGTTTAGTTGAGGTGTTAGGGCTGGGTTGGACTCCATCTTGAAGGTCTCTTCCAACCTAGTGGTTCTGTGATTCTGTGAACCCTCTGGATAGAAGTATCTTGGGGTTCATAGAGTTATTGTGAATAGATACTTCTGGATACAAATCTACAAAACTAGCTCTGTGGGATTAACCTGATGTCCATTTAGGTCTCACACTCAGGTTAGCCCAACAACAGGGCTGTAAGGCTTGGAAGACAAATGTAGCAGTAAAAAGAATCATGGAAGCATTTCAGACTTTAGATATTCTCTTGCAAATAAATTTTTCATAGTACGAAACCTGCAGGAGTACACTGTCACACTAACAGTACTCTCAGAAAATTAAAGCATATCAACTGCCACCTGGGGAATGAGACATACAGTCCATTTCCAGAAGCAAACAGAAAAAATTATTTTATACCCACTATTATGTGAAAGAAAATCCTGTATTTAAGATACAACTTTGAAGACAGAGAAAAGCAACACTAACACACAAAATTCCTTTAAGAATAATTTATCAGAATACAGATTGTATGTTCAACACTAATACAGTATATAATCCCTGTTAAATGTTCTATAGACACACTTGGAAACATACTGTGAATAAGACTTGAATAATCAAGAGGATTATTTAAAATATATATGTACACTTCAAAGGCTACTGTGCAGGAAGAACAGTTTCAGGGATTTCTGCATTCTACAGTAGAAGATAATTTTTGAAATTTCCAAGTAGTAATGTAAACTAATTTTTATTTTTAAAGAAAGTGCTTCTAGTATTACTACTGGGTTTTGAAAAATATTAAGTCTATTTTCTTTCCATTACATATAAAGCACTGAAGAATGAGTCTCCACATAAAAACCACCATCCAGCAGACCTCAGTAAGTCCACTTTATAAACAAGTCCTTGCTTTAATTTCATTTCATTTGGATAGTTCCTATGCAAATATACACATATCTAGAAGGTAACAGCCATAACATACTTGTATAGTGCTTCAAATGATACAACCAATATCAACAGAGACTTTGGTCAGAAGTGGCAGCTCATAAATATGTGCAATAGCTAATTTAATTTTAATACTGCTATTCTGGTCTGGCTTGCTCAGAGCCCCAAAAAGGAGTTTAGCATGCCAGTAGTTCTGTTTCGTGAAGCAATTTGGAAGAGAAAAGGTCTTTCATAATTGGGCAGAACATACAATTTTCTTATTAGTAATGTGAGAAGAAGTAATTTTTTCCTACTGAAACAGATTTTCAGTGTTTTAAAATTCACTCTAACATTATGCAATCATGCTCCTATACTACTACTAGAATTGAAAATGATCCTGCTCTTTTTTTTTGTGTTTCCTTGTATCAGCATGAACACTTATACGACCTGAAAAAGATTACTTATCTGATTAACTAATTTATACATTTCACTGTCCATGAATGTTGGTGACTGCCAAGTAAAGTCAAACCAATGGGGTGCACCAGTTATCTTTAGCATTAGCTTAAATGACTACTCAAAACTACTTCAGCTACATATCCAAGGTAGAATTCAGGCAAACAATTAATGCCAAATAAACAGATGTTATGATTGGTCAGGAGCACTTGATGACAAGACTTCCTCATGTAAAAGACAGCTTTAATCCTGCTCATAGTAAACAAAGAAAGCTTAAAATATTTGAAGTTCAAAAGGAATCAAATAAGTATGGGTTTTTTTGTTTTGCCTTTATGCACTGTTTTGAAAACTTATACTTTTGACCATTTTGTGTCTTTGGATTATTGTTCCTACAGCCCAGCATATCTCCAGGACAATAGAACTTTTTATGTGAAGATACATAAAGGATGTATCACAGCTGAATTCTTAAAACTACAGCAGTATTACACCTGAAACAATCCTCACTTGCCATCAGCATTTGTAATTTCACAGGTACTCTACCTACTTTTGGACATATTTGGAGAGGAAGCCCTTACCCACTTCCTACCATCCAGTTTTCTGTATCCTGTTTTTTTTTTCTAAGCTTTATTTCATTTTTACATAATAATGTCTTCTGACCAGAACAACCTCCATCAAATTATTTCATTACTTGAAAAGCTTGTGGCTTTTACCATTACTTCTTTAACTACCCGAAAGGAGGTTTACCCAGGTGGGGATTAGCCTCTTCTCCCAGGCAACCAGCAACAGAATGAGAAGACAGGGTCTTAAGCTGTGCAAGGGAAGTTCAGGTTGTACGTTAAGAGGAATTTTCACAGAAAAGGTGATTAAATATTGGAAGGGTCTGCCAAGGGAGGTGGTAGAGTCACCATCCCTGGAGATGTTTAAGGAAAGCCTGGATGGGCTCTGGTCTAGTTGACAAGGTTATGATCCTTCACAGGCTGGACTCAATGATTGTAGAAGTCTTTTCCAACATAACTGATTCAGTGATTCTGTGTGGGATCATCCATCAAGCTGCAGAGTAACAAACAAAAGAAAATAAGACAACAGAACACCACTACGACCTCCATGTCCACCCTATGCCTGGTTTTAAAGCAGACAGAGTGTAGCATATATACAGATGGGAAGCAGCCCCAGGCGAAGGCACACCAACCCTGCCCTGCTCCATTCACCCCTCCGTGAGTTTCTTCAGGGAGGGAAACTAAGGGAAACTTAGCCACAAATGATCAGAACTGTAACAATGAGGTTGGCTGGCTGGAGACCTGTGGCTGGTAACCAGGAGCTGTGAGCAAAGAGAGGGGGGAAACCAGTTGTGGAGTTAATGGGGGAATGGGAGGTACTGTGCTTGGAGAGCGGGGGTCAGATGAGAAAACTATGTAGGGCTGCAAATACATGAATGAAGAAAAAGGGATAATGTGGCAGGAGAGAGCAGGAAGACCAGGCTGACATGAATAAGTTGGACTGAAGAAGAAAGAGCTGTGGAGGAGAGAAAAGTGCTTGTCTGTACAAAAAATGTTATGATCTCCCTCCCACACTGGGTTTTGGAGTGGCCACGGTGTAACACACGCATGCTGTAACTTGTGCACGCACACTTGGTGTCACACACGAGCACATGGCATCACATGTACGGCACAACACACACACGTGCTGTAACACAGACGTGGCATTACACACACGGTGTAACAAATATGCACATGCCGTAACACACACGGGGTAACACGCACATGGCATAGGCCATGCACACGATGTAACACACATGGTGAAACATGCACACGGGGTGTAACACAGCCACACACACAGGGTAGCTGTATCACATGGCGTGACAGACACATGTGGTTAACAAATACGCACATGCCGTAACACACACACACACACAGGGTAACGCGCACGGCATAGCCCGTGTGCGCGGCGTTAACACACACGGTGAAACACGCACACGGCATAATGCCTGGACAGCGTAACACAGCCACACACACAGGGCAGCACACACGGTGTGATGGACACACATGGTTAACACACACACGGGGTAGCGCACACACACACGGGGTAGCGCACACACGCGCGGTTAACACACACACACACACACACACACACACACACACGCGCGGTTAACAGACACAGACAGATACACACACGCGGTTAACAGACAGACAGAGACACACGCACGGCGGAACACACACAGATCCCACCCGACACCCCGCGCATGCGCGCGCACGCGCAGGGCCGTGCCCGCCGCGGGCGCGCGCGGTGCAGTGTGGGAAGGAGGTGGCCCCGGCCCGGCGGAGCGCGGCGCTGAATCCTCCCGGCCGCTCACAGCACTGTGGAGCCGCTTCCCGCCCTGCCTCCCCTCCGGCCGCCGCCACCTCCTCCTCCTCCTCCACCCCACACACGCACCCTCCCCCCCGCC